GCATATACTCTAATGCCGAATATAACAGCCAGGGGAGCTACATGCCGCAGAGTGACTCCGATATCCGGTTCCGCGGGTCGATGACACCATCACCCGGGCTTCCGGCCGTTCCTAGAAGGAACATTTAACACGACCATCGGGAGCATTTCCAGTTCCGACATGCATTCAAGGTTCCAGCATGGCAGATTTAGACGAATATAGTAGACACAGTGCTAGCAGCAGCGCTTTGTCGCAGCTGGCGACCGCGCACCCAACGCGCAGCGACCCCGCGTTCGCCGCTGACGGGTCGTCGCCGATGAGCAGACACCAAAGCCGCGTGGAGATATCGCGCATCGAGACGCTTCGTTTGGCGGCGGAGTCCACTGTCGGCACGACGAAGGGTCGTACACCGCGTGATCAATGGTTGCCGATGGGCGCAGGAAAGGAATACCCGCCGGAGCTGCCAGACCCGGAGAAGTACGTCGTCGAGTTCACCGACGCCGACGACCCGTGCCATCCCCACAACTGGCCGATCGGTAGGAAGGTCTTGCTGTCAGTCATCCTGGCCTACGTGACATTTGTCTCATCCTTCGCCAGCGCCATCTTCTCGTCGACGGTCGGCGCCACCAGCGAGAAGTTCGGCGTCAGCACCGAGGTCACCACCTTGGGCGTGACCTTGTACGTGCTGGGGTTCTCCGCCGGCCCGACCTTCTGGGCGCCGGCCAGTGAGCTCGCCGGGCGTCGCTGGCCCATCACGGCCGGCGTGTTCGGGTACAGCATCTTCACGATCGCCACAGCGACGGCCAAGGATGTCCAGACTCTGATGCTGACGCGGTTCTTCGCGGGGCTGTTCGGCGCCAGTCCACTCGCGATCGTGCCCGCGACCTTCGCAGACATGTACAGCAACCGGACGCGCGGCATCGCGATCGCAATGTTTGCCATGGCCGTCTTCGTGGGCCCGTTCGCGTCCCCGTTCACAGGGGGGTTCATCGTGATGAGCTACCTGGGGTGGCGCTGGACCATGTACATCTCCGCGATCATGGGATTCCTGGGGACGGTGCTGCTGTTGCTCTTCTTCCGCGAGACGTACGCGCCGCTGGTGCTCGTGGAGAAGGCGCAGAAGCTGCGGCGGCAGACGCGCAACTGGGGCATCCATGCGCGGCAGGACGAGGTTGAGCTGGACTTCGACGAGCTGATCACGGTCAACTTCAGCCGGCCGTTCCGCATGCTCTTCACCGAGCCGATCGTCTTCCTGGTAACGCTCTACATGTCGTTCATCTACGGGTTGATGTACGCCCTGCTGGCGGCCTACCCGGTCGTTTTCCAGGGCATCCACGGGATGAATCTGGGGGTTGGCAGTCTGCCGTTCATCGGGCTGATCGTGGGCGAGTTCCTCGGCGGGGTATACACGCTCCTCGGGCAGAAGTCATACACGCGGAAGTTGATCAACAACGACAATGTGCCCGTCCCGGAGTGGAGGCTGCCGTCCGCGATTGTCGGTGGGATAGCGTTTACGCTCGGTTTATTCTGGTACATCTCCTCGCTTGTCTTGCACCTCTATCGCGCGTACTTTATTTCCCAGCTGGTGCCGGATGAAACACGCTAACAAGAAAACAGGTTCGGGTGGACAGGCTGGACGAACGACATCCACTGGATGGCCCCCACAGCGTCCGGGGTGCTGGTTGGGTTCGGCATCTTCTGCATCTTCCTCCAATGTTTCAATTATCTGATCGACTCTTATCTGCAATTGTGAGCTTTCCCCCCCAGATACTACCCTGCATATCTCGCCAAGCGATCGCGATCTCAGCTAACGGGCGATATCTCCGTAGTGCTGCATCGGTGTTCGCCGCGAACACGATCTTGCGGTCGGCGGTGGGCGCATGCTTCCCCCTGTTCTCGAAGCAGATGTTTGTGAATTTAGGGGTACAGTGGGCGGGGACGCTACTGGGTTGTCTGTCGGCGATTATGATTCCCATTCCACTGGGATTCATCCTGCTGGGGCCGAGGTTGCGGAAGAAGAGTAAATTTGCGCCCACTGCGGCGGTGTTTGCGGAGAAGGATTAGACATATCTTTTTGGTTTCTTTTGCATTCTTTCCTTATTTTTTATTCAAGGTTGATTGTTATTTGTTCTCTTTTCATTCAATAGCACGTGTCCTGGCAAGTGACGGCCGAGTTAGGGTTGGCCCCGCACGAGATAGCAGCGTCGCGTCAACCAGCCACGGTAATGATCCATGAAGATCACCAAGGCCAGAGTCCTAAGATAAGATAGGGATTACCTAACTGACTGGAATCAATAGCTGGGTGAGAATGATTAATGATCCCCATTTGGCCACTGTCACCGTGAGCACCGTGATTCGCCATCGATCGCGGGTCCGCAGGGGGCGAATAACTCGGATTATCAGTGGTTGCCGGCGTCGGTCCCATGGATCCACCCCAAGATGCTCACGCGAAGGGGGATGATAAGAGGGAAAAATTCGAACCTATTTTTTAGCCGATCGCCCCCGTCGAGCTGGCTGGGTTCCTCTTGTTCTTCCTCTCTCGTTGTTCTCTCTTCGTGTTGTGTCGTCTCTTCTTTGCTCGTTGAGCTTTCCTTGCTGGGTTTCTCCCCATCCCTGGAGATAGGATCTTTCCTATTAGCTCCTATTGTATAAACATTCATCATGGGCTTATCCGACTGGGTGCATCGCACCAATCTCTCTGTGGCGCGGAGCCCTATTGGGCGTTGGTTCTTGCTCGAGAACTCCGGCCATGTATGTACAACCCCCCTCGTTCCCCCTCTACCCCTCCCCCTCATTCAAGGTTTCCATTGTGAGAATGATGAAGAGACTAACGAAGACAGCCCCGCGAACGCAAAGGTTCCTTTTTTTTCACCGAGATTCGGGCCGGGTTGGCGACTTTCTTCGCCATGGCCTACATCATTAGCGTCAACTCCAATATCACGTCCAAGTCGGGGGGTAACTGCGTGTGCCCAGCCGACGACCCCGACAACTGCAACTCGAACACCGACTACCTGATGTGCGTGCAGGAGATCAACCGCGACATGGTCACCGCCACCGCCGCCATCTCGGCCCTGGGAACCTTCTTCATGGGCCTCCTCGCCAACCTCCCCGTCGCCATCGCCCCCGGAATGGGTCTCAACGCTTACTTCGCCTACACCGTGGTCGGGTACCACGGACAGGGCATGATTCCCTACTCGATCGCCCTGACGGCGGTGTTCGTGGAGGGCTGGGTCTTCCTGGGACTGACGTTGCTGGGCATTCGGCAGTGGCTAGCGCGGGCGCTGCCAGCGTCGATCAAGCTGGCCACGGGTGCCGGAATCGGATTGTACTTGACGTTGATCGGACTGAGTTACAGCGCGGGCATCGGGTTAGTGACGGGAGCCAAGGACACGCCGATGGAGCTGGCGGGATGCTCGGACGCGCTCCGCCAGGATGGACTGTGCCAGTCGGCGGACAAGATGCGCAGCCCGACGATGTGGGTGGGCATCTTCTGCGGCGGCGTGCTGACGGCGTGTCTGATGCTGTACCGGGTCAAGGGCGCCGTGATCATCGGGATCCTGCTGGTGTCGATCATCAGCTGGCCGCGCCCGACGGCGGTGACCTACTTCCCGCACACGCCGCTGGGCGACAACATGTTCGACTTCTTCAAGCAAGTGGTGACCTTCCACCCGATCAAGCGCACGCTCCTCGCCATGGAGTGGGACCTCACCGGGCACGGGGCCGAGTTCGGCCTGGCGTTCATCACCTTCCTCTACGTGGACATCCTCGACACGACGGGCACGCTGTACTCGATGGCCAAGTTCGCCGGCACGATCGACGAGCGCACGCAGGACTTTGAAGGCAGCGCCATGGCCTACATGGTCGACGCGATCACCATCTCGATTGGCGCGCTGCTGGGCACGCCGCCTGTGGCGGCGTTCGTTGAGAGCGGTGCCGGGATTTCGGAGGGCGGGCGGACAGGGCTGACGTCGTGTGTCACGGGCCTCTGCTTCTTCATCGCCGTGTTCTTCGCGCCCATCTTCGCCTCCATCCCGCCGTGGGCGACCGGCTGCACGCTGGTGCTCGTGGGCGCGCTGATGTGCAAGGCCGCCGCGGAGATCAACTGGCGGTACTACGGCGACGCGGTCCCCGCCTTCCTGACCATCGCCATCATGCCGTTCACGTACAGTATCGCGTACGGGCTGATCGCCGGTATCCTCAGCTACATGCTGCTGAACGTGATCGTGTGGGTGGTGGAGGTCGGGTCCCGGGGCCGTCTGGTGCCGCCCAACAAGCACGAGAAGGACCCCTGGACGTGGCGGATTGCCGGCGGATTCTTCCCCCCATGGCTGCAGCGGTTGTTCCGGGGGAAGAAGGACTTCTGGCGGGAGGAGCCGTCGCAGTTTGTGGAGGATGAGTGGCGAGATGGTGAGCCTCGATTAGGCGAGGTGGTGGTGGAAGAGTCGATCAACTCCCAGGAACCTGTGGGGGAGAAGGCGGAACATCCCAAAGCATAATAATCTTCTTTTGTTTGTTTCTTGGTTATCTGGAGTATGGGTCTGTCGTGATTAGCTTTTTGGTTGGACATGGTCTTAACGGTTTCTTTGTTGTCCGTGGTGTAGGTAACAGGGGCGACGTTGTACAGGGAAGATAATTCCGTTGATCTGTGGGGTCTGCATCATGTCGTGACTGTTTATTATGTAGCATATTCACATCCTTGAGGATTTACTTCCAGCAAAAGACATCCAAGACATCTGGAGATTGATCTCGATATAGACAGATATAGAGATATAGAGATAGAGGGGCAACCCTAAGCCCTAAGAAGCAGCAATACCAGATCTGACCGCCCCGGCCAATCATACGTCATAAATACGATACGCATCGGTTCCGCATTCTTTCGCCTGAGTCGCATCATTGCTTTTGTTTCTTCTCCTCTTCTTCAGCTTCTCTACTGTGCATCCCTTGCGTGTTCTTTCTCTTACACTTCACTCCTCCAACTATGGATTGACTCCCTTTGCCACCCCCTTCCCCCATCACCCATCATGGCCGATAATAGACGTCCTCTGGCTCCCGCTCCGCCCGGGACCGCCGCCTCCACCGACTCGCAGCGCCGGAAGAATGTTGGGACGGCCTGTAAGGCATGCAAGGCGCGCAAGTTGAAGGTGACTAGTCTTCCACCATCACCGATAGAGGGGAGGAATAAACAGAATGAAGATAGAAAGAAGAGAAGCAAAGGAAAGAAAGAGAAAGAAAGAGAAAGAAAGAAGAACTAATCATCCACCTCCAACGAGTGACGGGCCCCCCAGTGTACCGGATTGGTCCCCTGCGCCAACTGCCTCAAATCGCGCCTCGAATGCACCCTCGACTCCACGGCCGACCGTCGCCGTCGTGGCGCCCTAAAGCGCAAGATCGATGAGCTCGAAGACAAGGAAGACCTCCTCGTCCGACTAGTCGACGTCCTGCGCGAGAGCGGCAACTGTCGCGCCTATCCGCTCGTCAATCTCATCCGTAGCAACGCATCCTTGCCCGAAATCCGCTACTACATCGACCACCAGCTGCCGCGCGACGAGCTATCCCGGACCCCTGACATCCTCGAGGCCGCCCACGCCGTCGCCTCAGCCGTGCCCGTCAACTCGGGGGACGACGCCCGCTCCCTGCGTCGCATCCTCGACGCCAAGCGCTTGTCGGATATCCCGCGGTTCCGGGTCCCCGCGCGTCCGTGGACGAGAGTCGTCGAGGATGACGATGTGGTGTCGCATCTGGTCTCGCTTTGGTTTACGTGGCGTCAGCCGTTTGGGGGTTGTTGGGTCGATCGCGGGCGGTTTCTGCGTGATATGCAGGCGGCCGGTAATGTCGCTCGGCGTCGCTTTTGTTCGCCGTTTTTGGTGAATATCATTCTGGCGGATGCTTGTGTATGTTTGTCTTACTTTTCTTCTTTTCCATCTTTTCCCGCAATTCGGTCTGTATTCATGGTGTAGACATACTCCGACTACCCCGAATCGTATGCCATCCCCGGGGATGTCGCCTCGAAAGGGGCGCATTTCTACGACGAGGCCAAACGGCTACTCGAAAAAGAACAAGGGCGGATCACTCTCCCGACAGTCCAAGGACTTGGGGTACTGTGGACATGGTGAGTCAACTTTCCCCACCAACCGTCCAACAGAAGCTCATCATCCAGTGCCTCCCTCACCCGTCGCGACCGTCAAGGCTGGATATACCGCAGTCAACTGGCCTACTCGCTGCGCGAACTCGTCCAGGATAACCCGCCCGTCGCCGGGTCCAACGACCCAGACCAATCATCGATGGCCCCAGCCGTCTTATCCATTCGCTGGGGCATCTTCAACATCGCCACGTAGGACCTGACTTACACCCGCCGATGCACCGCTCCATCACCCAGTCCGAAAGTAAGAAAGATGATTGACACGCGCAGGATCCACGCCCTCGCCGAGAAAAAAGTCCCTGCTATCAAACCGCCGCAGGGCGCGGCCTGCTCACCGCCACCACCCTGCGACCACAGAGCCGACCAAGAAGAAGACTGGCAGTCCTATCCCGCGCAGACGGACGACCCCCCGACGCCGTCCCACACCGCCTGCGTCCTGTCGGCGCTGTCCAGCCTCAGCCCGATCGTCTACGACGCGACGCGTTTCCTCTACGGCGGAGAAGAGACGACCCCTCGGCACGACTGGGCATCGCTGGACGAGCGCCTGCGCCGGTGGGCCGCCGATCGGTTGCAAGGATGTTTGGCACGAGGGAATATGGAGCTTCCACATGTTTTGTGCTTGCAGTGTGTTTCCTTTACAAGTTTCACCCAAGCTCAACCCTTCATCCTCGTTACTGACAGGCCCAAAACAGCATGTACTACCACACCATAACGATCACCCTGCAGAACACATCACCAACCACCGCCACCACCCACACCGCCAACCCGCCCCCTTACCCCAACTCCAATTTCACCCCCAACCCCACCCCCACCAGCCTCGCCTCAGCACGCAGCATCGCAGACCTCATCCGCACCCACCGCGGCGCATGGGGTCTCGACCGCATGCCAGCAAACAACATCCAATGGATAACAGCCGCGCTCTTCACACTCCTCCCACGGCTCGACGAGCCCTCCAACTGCGACGCCTTCATCGGTCTCTGCGTCGCCGCGAAGGCCTTCTCGCGCCGTTGGGAGGCAACCCGCACGACGCTCGGCGCGGTGCAGGCTGTCGCAAGGGAGAGGGGCGTCGTGTTGCCTGTGGAGACGGATCCGCTGTTTGAGGAGCTGGATAAGCTTGCTGGGATTGGTGCGGTGGGGAGGAGGATGTCGGGGGAGACGTCTTCGGAGACGAATAACCTGCTTTAATTTTGGATTTTGAATTGGATTGGTTACATATTTGGTTATTAATGTGTGGGGGCTTTTTTGGTTTGTTGCTGTTGTATTCGAGGTTAGGTATTATGGACTATATCCAAAGGAACAATAGATGTATCCAGCATTGTCGATCATATCTCACCATACCATATCTACTTTCACTACACTAATACAATAAGAGAATATGAGAGTAAAGATCACAGAGATTTACTGCTTAAATACCCATGTAGAGTATCTCCTATGAATGCTAAATAACTAGACCATTTTATTTTTGACAGCACCTTAAGAATCCTTTGATGTTATACTTTTTTATTATATCTACTATAGCCAATGTATAGAACTCTACACTATTGTCCACATATTTGCTAAGAAAATGTTCCCTGGCTATAGGTGTCTAAGCGCGTGCTGTAGAGGGTCTGTCCTCTGGACGACTTTGGGGGTCCTACGCGTTTCTCTACAGAGGCTTATATAACTGCTTCAGAAAATGCAATATGCTTAACAGAGCCCTGTATGGTTCCTACGAAATACTCTACATTGGTACTTCACAGAGTCCCGTGAGTCTACTCAAAAAAAAAAACTCTAGAGACACCTTACAGGAATATGCACGGCTACTTTGAAAGTCTTGCGCGGGTGTTTGAAGAGATTCTTCGCGACGACTTTGATAATTTGGAGTCTTCTACGGGCAGTTTGGGAGGGACGGGACATACCATATCATATCATATCATCAATACATAGATATATCGAAATATATAAGAAACTCTAACGTGCCAGATGCCAGATCCAACTTAACACCATTCAACCCATTCAACCGATCCAAATGAGAAACAAGAAGAGAGAAAGCAAACCTAAACAGCCGAATCGTTATCCTGCATCGGCTTCTTCATCATCCTAGCTTGCCCCCGCCTAGTCTTAGTCTGATAAAAATGCCACAGCGCCCAAGCCATAACGGTCACCAGCGTCAACGGCACCGTCACAGCCCAGTAGAGCCAGAAGTTCGACGATACAGCCCACGTCGATTCGCCCTGCCCGAGACTATCCATGTCGAAGAAGTTAGTGCCAAACACGCCAGACACAAACGTGCCCGGCAGGTACACCAAACTGACGACACCGATGGTCTTCATGATTGCGCTGTCGCTTTGGGCATCTTTCCCGAAGCGCTGCGAGACGAGGTTGAATGCCTTATTATATCCATATCAGCATTGCCACCCATTCTTTGTTTATTTCCCTCTCTCTCTTTTTATCTTGGAAGGAAAAAGTAAAATACGTACCAAGTTGATCTCATTCTGCAACCTATCCGTCAACGACTGCGATCGGATTCGCGCGGAGGTTATCTCTCTTGCCGCAAACACCACCTTTTGCTGCGTCTGCATCCAGGAGCCGCGCATGAGTCCGTCTACGAGATCCGGATGCTCATCACGCCAGCGGGAGAGCTCATCGCGCAGATTGGTGAGCGTCGCTTCTGCGACTTGAAGCGTCTCCGTTGAGTGGAAGATGTGGCGGGCGATGTCATGCAGGTTGTGGAAATCGGGGGCGGCCGGTTTCATCACGTTTCGGGCCTGTTCTCCGGTTCTTTTTTTAGACTTTCCTTTTTTCATTGCGCGTTGAGAGATGTATGGGTACGTGCATATTTTCTATGCAGCATTCTCAAAGAAGAAAGTAAAGCAAGGAACGCATGAACATGCAAAGCAAAAAGTTAGACACACCTTTTCAACCGCCCTAACTATATCCCGCAGAAACCAAAACGAGGTTTTATACATAGAGAGCACGGCTGTTGCGAAGAGACTGTGCCACATGTATGGGTTTAAATGACGATTCTTAAAGGGCGCTAGGGTTGGAATCTCCGCGGTCAAGTTGGCCTCCTGCTCGGGGGGCAGGTTGATAAACCAGACACGCTGGGTGTCGGCCTTGGGGTCCCATTGCACGAGGACGGCGGGCTGCACCCAGTAGTACTTTTTGGGGGGCTTAGGTACCATTTTGATTTTGAAACAACTCCAGGAGTCTGAGAGGTTTTAGTCCATAGACATGTGCTGCGGACAGCCACAACGGGCTGGGGGAGAAGGAGACAGCAGCAATTACCATGTCTAGTGATTGATTTTCCGTCCTCGTCATAATCGTAATCACACACGAATGTCCCGTTCAGGTCTTCTTTCACCACAGGGAGGAAAGAAGTTGGGAGCAGCGACTGCGCGTACTCTGCCAAGGTTTCGCCCGAAGCGAATCTGTGATCTTAGTTTATGCTCTTCTCAGCCTGCTCCCACAAATACGACGTACATCACTGTCGTTGAACATGTCTATATTGCATCAGTGTCGGCTCCTAATTCACAATTCCCATCCTGAGGACGGCTTACCCGGATACCGTCGATTGGGCCTCGTCGGTTCGTCCAGTGACCTGTTTCTTCGCGAATTAGCACCCAGATACCACCCATATCGAAAGACTAGCCGTACCGTCCTCCTCGTAGAAAAGGGCATCATTAGGCGGCGGTGGACTTTCGATCGGAGATTCGATCGGAGATTTTCCCACTGGCGTCGACGCCACTGGGCTTATCGTCAATCCCATGACTCCAAATAGGATAGATTCTGCACAAAACCTAAACAAAGTCTAGAGTGATGAAGAAATCAAACAAAGAACAACGCGATTGCAACCGCAGAAACCAACAAGCGAAGTCATTAAAGCTCCCCATCCACGCTCACGGCGGTGGATGGGAAGGCCGGCGCTTATGCAGGCTACCTGCCGACGATCCAGGATTAAGCGATATCCAACCAATTGTATCCACAGCCACACCATTGACAAGGGTGTCTAGGACCCTCAGCGCAAATCATCTCTCTTGACCGCTCGTTGGGCTCTCACAGAGTTGTGTCTCGAACTGGCGCTATGTCTGACTGCACGTAGTCCACCAAAACACGTCGGTCGCGAGGCGCAGTGCCGCCGGACTTCGCCTTGCGGTACGCCCGACTGCAGGGAGATACGGGTCGACGCGCCCTGCGGGCTATGCCCTCACATTGTGGCGACTTGTTTTTCTTCTTCGGCTTTCTGGCGTGTCTACGTGCAGGAGCGATGGAGGTTGGCCAGTATGCAAGATCACGTGATATGTGACAGTGGCTGCCTTGGGCCTCTCACTGAACTTGATATTGTGATTGTGTAATGTGATTTCGAAGTCTCAGTCGGTTAGGGAATTAGAGTCTTTAAGTTGCGCTGTATAAAGTGTTGAAAAAGGTAGTTCTGATATCAACAGGGCTCTCCATGGATAGTATGTATCTCGAGGGCAGGGGCGACAAGTAGGAGCCATGTCTTTTGTCGAAACACAACAAGGAATAAATCATGTTTCTTTGTATATCTCATGTTTTGTTTGGTTCTCTTTTTGCTTCTGTGGCACTTCATTGATCTCACCAAATAGAAATCAACTGGGATCATACTGATAATGTTGAAAGGTAGTAAGAAAGTGGTCCACATTAGTACTGTTGCATGTACTGGTGTAATACTGGTTTAGCTTTTTAATCACATCAAAGTTAGTTAAACTCACAACTGTGTAATGAAAAGGGCATTCCCTAGAGATAATACCTTAGGATTTCTCAGATTGATGGATGGAATGACATCATGCAGAACTGTGTCATCTAAATTAGTTAGAAGATGATACTATAATAAAGTGATCTATCACTGAATAGATTCACGGTCATACTCTCATCACCAGTGGACCCATGAAAGAACTATTATAATAATTGAATCACGATGATAAATCATCCTCCACTCTTAACAATGGCAATAGTGTTGTACCAAGTGAATACCAGATCCAGGTTACTCCTGGTTGGCGGCACCAATGGTACGATGCCCATGGAAAGCCACTGGACAGATGACCAGTCATTCGCTACCTTTGCTTCACGAAAACATAAATATAATAAAAACAAAGAGTGGAGGGGAAAGTTCAAACACAGTCTACTTACAATCTTCTCTGCTCCCTACTTCTTCAATCTGACAGACATCCCATCCTCACACAAACCATGGTGGAAAAAGACCTCAAAATGGAGAAAACGGAGAAGAACGCTTCCTACAGCCAGGTAGCCTGCATAGGAGCCGGCCTCAGCGCCATAGCCTTGGGAGCTACTCTGAAAAGATGGTATAAGATCGATAACATCCGCTTTTTCGAGCGCCACGAGGAGTCGGGTGGAACCTGGGCTATCAACTCCTACCCAGGTATGCACTTTGCCTCATCCATACCCGCACTCTATCTACACAGTCGCAACTCACATGTTTCCAGGATGCGCCTGCGACGTGCCCAGCGCACTGTACAGCTTCTCCTTCGCGCTGAATCCCAAGTGGACCAAGTTGATGCCCTCCTGGAGCGAGATCAAAGCGTACCAGGAAGATGTCGTCGAGGAGTACAATCTGCACGACAAGATGCGCTTCCGCACGGAGATTGTCCAATGTATCTGGCAGGAAGATACCGCACGCTGGTTGCTGGTCGTGCGCGATCTCGTCTCAGGAGAGACCTTTCACCACGAGTGCCAGATCTTGATCAGCGCCACGGGCCTCCTCGCGCAACCTCGAGAGTGCGATATTCCCGGGGCAGCGAGCTTCAAGGGAGCGCTATTCCATTCCGCGCGATGGGACCACAGTGTTGATCTGGAAGGGAAGCGCGTCGTCGTCGTTGGAAACGGATGTGAGTATCGCCCACCAGATGTGTATGTGTTAAGAGAGAATTAGCTGATCGAGGAGCGCAGGTACCGGAACGCAGATCGTGCCGGCGATCGTCGACAAAGTTGCATCCGTCACGCATGTGGTTCGGACCAAGCACTGGTTCATTGAGGCGACAAATGGCGCGTATCCTTCTATCCTGATATGGATCTTCCGCTTCATTCCCTTCGCGATGCGACTGCATCGACTGCATATCTTCCTACTCATGGAGATGGCCTACCGCCTGTTTCCCAACACCAAGGCTGCAGCGAGACTGCGCCAGAAGACCCGGAAAGAGGCAGAAGCGTATATCCATCAGACTGCGCCGGAGAAATATCATGACCTGCTGATTCCCGATTTTGAGATTGGATGCAAGGTAAGTTTGGCAAGAATAAGAGCAAAGTCAAAAACAAAAGAAAAGAAGAAGAACTAATAAAACTATCAGCGCCGCATCTTCGATCCAAACTACCTGCCCACACTGCACAACGAAAAAGTGCAGCTCACCAAAACAGACATCACCGCGATCCTTCCCGACGGGATCCAATCCTCAGACGGTTTCATTCCCGCCGACATCATCGTCCTCGCCACCGGGTTCCAGACCAACAAATTCCTGCCGTACACGCAAGTCCACGGACGCGACGGCACGATCCAGGAGCACTGGCAGCGGTTCGACGGGCCCGGGGCGTACAACTGCACTGCGCTGAGCGGTTTCCCCAACTTCTTCATGATTCTGGGACCGAATACCGCAACGGGACATACATCTGCGCTGCTGGCGTCGGAAAAGTACATATACCCTAACGTCACCTGACAAATCGGGCCATAAAAATGCTAATTTGTGCCTGGTAGTGCGATAAACTATGCCATGCGCGTGCTGAAGCCCGTGCTGAAGGACGAGGCCGATTATGTCGAGGTGAAGCAGGAGGCGGAAGACACATACGTACACAATATCCAAGCTGCCTTGCAGGATACGGTTTGGAATACCGGATGCTCGTCGGTATGATTCCTCCCCCAAACTTCCCACCTTCGTCGATAGACGGAGTGGCTAACGAGACGGGAATTAGTGGTACGTGGGACCCAATAATTGGAATTCCATGACCTATCCGTGGTCGCAGGCTCAGTACTGGTACCACTGTTTGTTTCCGACATGGTCAGACTGGATAGTGAAGGTACGTAAAACTACACACATATCATTAGCTAGCTAACTACTAGTAGAGAACGCAGAAGCAAGTCGCAAAGGTCCATCGCCGCCGTAGAGTGACCGCGGGTGTCATCGCAGGTGCTCTACTGGCTTGTCTGGCGGTGCCACTTGCCTGGAACTCAGAGACGTTTGGGTTTCGAATGCCGGCTATGGCAAAGAAATTTGGGGCGCGACTGCATGATGGGATTTGGTAGAGCTGGATAATTAGTTCGGTTGCTTGGAGTAAGACTTTGGGTGGAAATACACGTACAGTATGAGCATATGGTTGATATACATGACGATGTTGTCATCTATCATGTTGGATTCCGTCTTGGTCAATTGTGAATAGTTCAGTCATTAATAAGAATGATCCATATCTTAAATATGCAGCTTAGAGTCAACCTCAGCATAAAACACCACTGTTCCAACTACATGTGTTTAGATTGCTCGAGAAGACACTGAGGATATATCACATGTCCCCGTCTTGCCCTAGTGTCATGCAATTCGACCAGTCTACAGGGCTTTCGAGTCTCCATATCTTAGCTATCCATCAGGAAAGGTTTTTTGGCCTCAAGATAAAACATTGTCATGATGTACCCTAAACGAATGCTAGATACACATCGAGGTTTCTTTTCCATCCTTCCCATACTCAATCATTTCACATCTCCACAAAACGTATCCATCACAAATCTTCCCTTCATCATCATCATTCAATCATTCCATCCATAAACCCATAACCGTAATCAAGCATAAGCATCAATGCCGCGCTGGATATGCTTGGCAATACCGGCGGACAACTCCTTGGCCAGATCCTTCAGCGCATCAGGAACCTGAGCGGTAATAGCATCCGCCAGACCCTGCGCGGACTCCTTCTGCGCCGTCAGCGTGGCCGACACCTTCTCGGACAGACTATCCTCATCAAAGTTCGGCTTGGCAGCGATGACAGCATCAACAAGGCCACCCACATCGTCGGTGAGAGTCTCAATGGGCTTGACGATGGCGAGGGCATCGGTCGAGCTGAGGGGATCGAATCCCTCGACGCTAGTCTTGCCGGTGTTGATCACCTCGTTGAGCTTATCAGAGGCAGCCACGACAGCATCTCCCTCGGCAGAGCCGCCCACGTAGTCGGCGACGGCCGTGTTAACAACCGCAACTTCATCGCTGACGGTCGTGATCACACCCTTATAGTCATCGGCGCCGCGCTTGGCGATACGGATGGGCTCGGCGACGCTGGTGCCGATGAGGCCGAGGGTGAAGAGGGTGGTGAAGAACTTCATTGTGGTGGTATATAGAGAAAAAGATTCTTGAGAGACTGAGGAAGGCTTTTGTTTCTGTCTTGTTCTGGAGATTGCTTGTTGATGATCTTCCCAATGGGGGGGTTCTGAAGCCCTATTTATACCTGTCCGTCTGAAGTTTGTTCCATCGTCGAGGCAGATGCTACCGCGGTATATCCCACCGCTCAATTCAACCCCTGCAAGGACATGTTTCGATGCGATTCTGCAAGGCAATTGCCCATGCTGGCGCCACCAAACCAAACAATCTAGGATGACAGCCTCGGGAGACTCACAAGAATAAGCCCCAGTCACGACATGAGGACTTCACATGCCGCACGAAATGCAGCTGAACAACACCTTACTCCCTCTCAATGTCCTCTCCGCGCCTCGGTGGATCAATCTTACCAAGCCACCAGCGAAGAACAACCCAGCACAAAAGGTCCAGCATCCAGCGTGAGCACGGGATAGCCCAGAAGGAGCCAGCCTTGGCCGTAAGTAAGTCCGCGAATGGGAGTGTTTCTGCAAGGGATGTGGACGGTTGAATCACCGCGATCGCGCAAGCCACCCCCGCCTCTCGATATTAGGCGGATGTCACCCTATGTGCGCGGGGGGGTTTTATATTGCCCGCTGGGATCGTCATCCCCGGATTCTGTTCTCGTCATTCCGGGCGCGAGCGCGAACTAGACCGTCTTATTTCCCCGCATTTGCGCCGATTTTTCGCCCTTGGCGACTGGTTGCCCCTGGTCTTTGCTGTTTATGTCAAACTTGTCGTCGGGTATTTCGGCGCTTGAGGTTCGGGTGTGTTATTGGTTATAGGTGCACGACTAGCTGGTTTGATACGAGGATCACGCATGTTATTCGGATGTTAGTAGAGGTACCTAGTCTATGTCTCAAATAGGTCACATACTCAACCGGAGTGATATTGCCATTTTTATCTAGGGCATACAAGCTAACATTAGTCATTGTTGCCAATGGTCGCGTGAAGTTCGCTTGTCCGTGCCATTCGATCTGCCTTAAGCTTACATCGTTACATTTGACTGTACCGGCTTACTCTATGAGAATATATGCTGCGTTTGCGGACCTATAAGCCCATACCGATTATGATTATTTTTTTGTAGCAAAGCCGCCTCAGCCTTTGCCTTCCCATGTAGGGAATGGTAACATATTAAAGTACAAAAAGCACATGATATCAAGACAATCCCAAGACAGGTTCCAAGATCATATCAAGACTGGTCCAGATATGCCGAGTATCAGTCGACAGAAGGTCAAGATCCAACAAGCCAAATATTAAGTTTTCAATAAAGAACGGTCAAAGGTATGGAAGTCCATCGTGAGGCAGGATCTCTCCGTTCGAGAATTTACTTGCTCGAGGGCTTGCCACCGCCCTGCTGGCCACCACCAGATCCGAGGAGAGCAAGAACGAGAACACCACTTCCGGCCATTGTGAATATCTAGATATCTAATTAGATTGGCGCTGGTAGGGTTTTTTATTTTGTTTCAGGGGAGATCTCACAATTGATTGTTCAGCGCGAAGCTGTGGAAGGTAGAAAGTTTGGAGTTTGAAGGGGCTTGTTGGCTTTTGAGATCTTGGAGATTGATGAAGAATGAAAAACCAAGTTGAAGGGTGATTTGACGGGGTACTTATAGACAAATTGAGGCCTAATGATTGCCAGTCTTTTCAACATCCGCTGGTGAAGTCTTTCGTTCAAGACCGGGCGTTGACATCAACAGCGGGTACGGACCCACCCGGTCGATCGATCGATCGCCTCCATGCTTTCCCGACCGTTCCAAGCGCATCTCATATCCACTCCCAGATTCTGGCCATACGACTTCACTGTGGAAGAGTTCGACCCACGAAGAGCGCACTGGTAGAGTCATAGCCATTGTCGTTTGCCCGATCTGACTTCCGCATTCGGTAATCCTGCACGTACTTTAATATCATATTAATGTCATTGTGCTGGACAATTCCCCGCCTCTGCAGGCTAGGTAGCATCGTTCGTACTGAAATTGCGACATTCAACGCAATCGCTACACGTTGACGTCAGACTCGGAGATTGGGCGATCAGTCGGCTTCCTTGCACAGTGTATTTTCGTGACCCTTTTGCCATCTTCAAGCTCAAAGGCTCGCCACCTCGTGGCCATTAGTTGATCTAGGTTGTACGTGATGATTATCGTGTGACGGGATCATGGCGACACCTATATTCCATGACGTTTAGTTCATTGAAGAAGAGTAGCAATTGGTATTAAGGCCATGACGATGAGACCCCCGGTCCATTCATGCAATTTACCCCGAGTCAACTCTCACAATGCATACTTTCCTAGACATCCCTTTGCTGGGCGTGCTTTGTTACTCTCCTAAGATGAACAGGGGGTGCTCATTCCCTTACAACGACCACTGCCAAGATGCTCGAGCCAGCAATCGCCTCTCGTCTCGAAAAGGCCGTGGGTGATATCGAGGAAGTCATGCAAATATGCCAGGCCCCTTCTATATCGTTTGGCGTGGTACACAAAGGAGAGGTGGTCCTCAGGAAGAGCCTCGGACTTAGGGATGTCGAAGACCGACTAGAGGCAAATCCAGACAGCATATACATGCTGGGATCATGTTCGAAGATGTTCACGGCCGCCGCGGTAGGGCATCTCGTTGCCCAGGGAAAGATGGACTGGCTGGACCCTGTCCAAAAGCACCTGCCGGAGTTCAACCCCATCGGAGACCTAGATATTGGGAGACAGGCAGACATAATCGACACGATGCGTCATTCTACGGGTCTTTCTGACCCAATCGGCTTATATCTCGGGCCTGGAAACACGGTTCTCGACGACGACGAGCGGTTCATTGAGCTTCTCAACCAGATGCCGACAAGCAACGACGAAGGACAGCGGTTCAACTCTTACTGGATGTATAACAACGGAGCATACGGCCTGGTATCAAAGGTCGTGGAGAGAGTCGCGCGCACCCGTTTCTCAGCCTACGTGAAAGAGAACGTCTTCAAGCCATTAGGAATGACTCGGTCTGTCGTGACCAGATCGGACCTCGACGGAAACATCGCATACCCTTACGTTCAGCTGGATGATCAAACTTTCACCAAGTTGCCATACCAATTCCTAGGATGCGAAGAGAATAACCCGATGCTCGCGGTCATGGGCATGGGCGCCTCGCTGAACGACATGCTTACGTGGGTCACTGCCATTCTCTCCGCCGAGCGACACGAGCAGCAAGCCACCGAGGACGAGGCCAGTTCCGACGAGGAGGGGTCGCCAGCCAGCGTTTCGAACGGGTCATCATACAGCTCCCCTGGACGAACAACGTCCAGCCCGCTCAAACACGTCAGCAAAATCCGAAAGGCCTACTACACAAGGCCAACCAAAGACCAGTTCCAAAATGAAGCAGCCTACTGCATGGGCTGGCTCCGGCTGACGATGCCCTCGTCATTACTCGGAGAACTCAGCTTCAACACCATGACAAAACCAGACAGCGAACCACACATGCTCGGCCAGGAATCACCCCAACGTCTCGCGATCGGCCACAACGGCGGCGTGATGGGATCTCTATCCGCCATCTGGACATTTCCAGAGACAGACAGCGCCGTAGTCGCCCTAGCCAACGGTCGCAGCATCGGCGACGCGGCAGACTTCACGGCACAGATCTTGATACAGGCGCTTTTTGACCTCCAGCCAAAAGTCGACATTGTCTTGTGGGCGCGGAAAGAGCGAGACCTCACACAGAAATGGTTTGAAGAGAAGTACTTGCAGCCGTGGCGGAGCAAACCTCTCTCAAACCATGACATTACCCGCCGAGACAGCACTGCCTATGTGGGACGGTACCAGGGTTTCAACGGCACATATACCTTCAACATAGTCTCTCAATCACCCAAAACGCAGTCGGAGACGGGATCCCAGCTAGCCATGGCGTTCAAACACAGTGATCCGGACACAATGCGTCCTCTGTATTTCGCCGGCACAGACGAGTACACGTTCTTTCCGGGGTCGTGGAATCGCTGGCTCGTCGACTCGACGCCGTCCCTGGCATATGAGTCCTCAGTTTTGAGGTTTAAGTGGGACGAAGCACGGTCTAGGATAGAAGGTCTCTGGTGGATATGTGTAGATGAGAAGCCATCGTGGTTTTCACGCGTGGAAGAGAAATGAAATGCACTTAGAACTTACCATAATTTGGATCGGCTTGAATGATCAATCGCCAGAACCAGAAACACGATGCCGAGTACTACCAGTGCGCCCGGAAGCACCAACCAGGCCCAATCGACAGGCTTTTGCCCAGTTTCTCAGGCATCCGACTCATGTTAATGCATTGTAGTGCCTGAGGCATACTTATGCTGATCTCATCGAGTATTAGTCATGCAGATCTTCACTGCCTCAGGCAAGCAGCACAAGTCACAACTGGCGCCGCTCAGAGCAGCCTTGTTAGTCCTACCAATAATATATCAATAGGCTGGAAACGCTTCGTTTCTAACAAGAGGTTTCTTCTCCTGTTGCCTCTCGTATTACTGTCTGTCCTATATTGCGCTTGAATGAGAGGGTGGACAGGCGCTGAACCACTCTTTCCCCTGCAGTGGAACCAACAAGGCTGACTTGCAGAAATTTTCTGGGCTTCCATCTCGTTGGATTGATATGGCTGTCTGTATCGAATATATGCTCCTAGATGCCTGTTTATATGTAGAATCCTTAAGTGGCGGTCGGGATAAGCAGCTGGGTATTGTATGGATAGTCTGTTGGAAGTAAGAGACTTGGCCTGCATCAGGCATCACGAGGATGTCACCCCCTTTGCAAATTGTCTATGCAAACCCAGGACCAGACTTCGGTCCAGTTGATTACTTCCTATCTTAGGCAATGTTGGCTGACCCTGTCGTATAACCTGCCTCTTGCAGAAATGCCTACGCATATACCATCACCCTCAGCACTATCCGTATAGACCAGTGTTGTACAATGAGAAAATGATGCTGCAAGCAACTGGGAAGCAAAGGCAATCAGGATATGGCGACGACAAAAAATTCATTAAGATAGAGGGAATCCGATTTTTGATTTTCATTTCATCAAGACACATCTATTTTTCCATAGATGTACCATGAACGCAGGTTGGGTCCCCTCTTTTCTCGAGTACTCCGGACCTCCCGCTGCTATGACCATATGAACATAAAACCTCAGAAAACACCCTTTAAGCCGACTTGCTCTTGACAGCCTCACGACCCTTGCCGATGCGCTCGAGGATCTGCTCACGGTCCTTGTCGAGGTGGAGCTTGGTGATGACGACGTTGGAGGGGGCGAGAGGGGTGGGGACGCTCTGGCCGTTGCCCTTCTCGCGGGCAATGCGCTCGACGTGGATGCACCACTTCAGACGGTAGACGCTGGTAACCTTGCCCTCGCGACCCTTGTTGCTACCGCGGACAACGGTGACCTCGTCGTCCTTGCGGATGGGGATCGAGCGGACCTGTAAAGCGACTGCGTTAGAATGATCTGTGATTGGGTCTTCAATGTCCGCCATCCTTGCTTCCATATTTCCTGTCCCACTTTTCAAATTCTGATTGTTTTCCGGGCGGCTTTCCTCCCACTCCCTAATACGGGCCCAGCGAGTCTGATCCCCTGCCCGGGAGTGGTTCTGCCAGATCCATCCAACCTTCGAGAGATTTGCAAATTCACACCGGTAAAATTCGAACGTACATTGTACTTGGCCCGGAGCTCGCGAGACAGAGGAGCGGAGAGGATGACACGTCGTTCCGAGGAAGGGGCGTTGAAGTGGGCGGCGCGCGACTTCCGGCGCGAAGAATGGAGCCCTGAAAACCACGCCTGTCAGTATACCATCTCGTAGTCGGTCGGAATCGCCGAATTGACGAGAGGAAAAAAGTCACGCACCGCGGTTCATGACAGTCATCTTGATAAGAGCCTCCTAAAGGGGATCGTGGAAGAACTCGAACGGGGGTGTCGTCGTGAGGGTTGTCGGGAAGGTCGTCGTCGGGAAGAGTCTGAATGTTCCAGTTTGGTGTGGCCGAAAATATGGGTTGTGCGTCACATGACCCCCCGCCTCGCCTAGCGCCGCATCCGACCTTCTGATTGGGTGAGCGGATCATCCACCGAGCCTTTCAATTGACCTCGACCTTTTATCTCCAGTACTATATAGTATGAGTTGACGCTTTCTTGTTATCCGACAGATATTCTACAGGTATTGATCATGATGATGTTACTGGACTGTCTACTCCAATTATTTAATAAAAAAATCGAGCATGACTCCAATAGAATGTCACTTATTCCACTCACAATTCACCCATTCTATTCAGGCCACACAGTACCTACCAATAGTAGATAATCACCACTCCAAGAGGTGCATTTGATCCTTCAGTCAAAGATAAGCAAAAGATGTGTATATATTTTATGAGGTTCCAAGACCAAGACCCACAGTGGTCATTCGGAAACCTTGTAGCCAAACTGACATCCAACACTTTATCCCACTCGCATGTAATACTTTCATATACCCAATCACAGCCATACATAATTCCGTCCCAAACCAATGAACATTGTAGAGGCTTCGCACAGGCAGAATTACCTGACACTATGCACACTCGACAGTTATGTTCCGATATTCCTGACAGCCAGATCTCCTTCCCGATTGCTGTAACTCCCGCGCCCCACAGGCTCTATGGCAATCCCATGCTGTCTGGTCATCCGAAAATGAAGATGGATGATTGTGCACATTCATTAGTCGATAATTATAAGTGAGGAATGGAAAGAAAGAAGAAACTTTTGTGAGTTAAGCAAGTTTCAGTGAGGGTGTTGTAGCAAGTCACCCTACTGCGTCCTTGTTGAAACACTATATATAGTCCAACTTCTGCTGTAACTGTTAGAGTATCAAGATGGTACCGATAGGGCTCGAGGAGATTTTCAATTACAGTGAATTTTGGATATTATGTGTAATTAGTCTGGAGCTCCATAGTAAGGTTTTTATTAATAGATAGATATACTTGGTCACATTAGCTGCAAATGTATACGAAATAAGTGATCATGTCTATGTTGCAGTGACTGCAATTGGTTGGCACGTCAGCTGACCGGCAGCGTTTACAGAGTCCTTTTCCCACTGTTTTTCATCTTGTAATTCAACCAAGAAGCAACTCTTCCATAGCTCTGAATATCATCAAATTCATCCTTTCGGACGCGTTTTCATCCTCCGTTTCCACAGTCTATACCAGCAGTTTGTTCTGGGGATTATGCTGTTTGAATATAAGACAAACATGTTTGTTTTGAGTACAACTATTATTTGCGTTCTATGTATTGTTTGTCATATCTCGCACGGATCACCGTCTCATCTTAACATTTCTAGCTGGGACTTAATGATGCCCTAACTGGTCGTCACCATCATGTAGCATCGACTGCACTCCGAAATCCACCTTGACATTGCAGCAGAAATGATCCAGACAAACCGACGACGAAAAAAGTGTTGAAGGGTTAGAAGTCCTACGATTAATGGTGACAGTGGGTACAAGGCGAGTCGCCTTAGGTCTTCTTATTTTCGACAACTATGTCACATAGCAAACCCCATTATCGCCAACATCAATAATAGACTAGGGGTTCCTTCAAGGAATGGTGACTGTACAAAGTATTACACAAGCATGTGGATAAAACCTAGCTGTCTCGGCCGAATTTGCTCCATCCACCGTCCCAAGCAGTCGAAGGATAGCTGCATCTACATGCTTCGACCACTACAAATGGCCCGACCAGAACACCGAAATCGCCCCGGCCGCCGTAGAAGGCATCTAGGGGGCTCAGTCCCAGGTAATCCGTGCTAGTATCGGCATCCCCCTTGGGCTCATTGCCCAAAAAGGCGGACGTTGGCTACATTGAAGGTCGCTGATCTTCCGAGGATACCAACAAGCGTACATTCCAAGAACCGTGCGAGTATCCGAATCTTAGGTAATAGAATCCAATGGAAGATAGTGTTGATGCTCGTTCGTTGGGAAAAGAGGCATCTCGAGGCATTCCCGTTTCTCCTACAACCCGACGAGCGACATGTTTGCAGGAAGGTGCGGTGAAGCCTAGGTTAGAATTGGTTCGAACCATGTACCTGCATATGCCCAGCGAATGTTAACGAATGCCGAAAAACTCGTATTCAGTACCCCAGCATTCCTGTTCCAGGAACTGGCCAATCAAAGTTGTCAACTCATAGACTGGCATTCTCGGTCCCCGTTGGATGGCCTTGCGATCAAGGTGGGGCCTTGTGGTAATGAAGCTATTCCCAACATATTTTCCAGGAACATCGTCATGGAATTGAAAAAAACGCGAATAGTGCATTCTAGATGACGATACATACTGACTGGCCATTATGATTCGAAACATTCCATCCAGCAAAGCGTCTGCGAAATGCCAATGCAGACAATGGAACACTCGTCTTGACTAAACTGGCGTGGTCAGCCACTTCGTGTTGATGAAGAGAATGCATGAAGGGGCAGGAAACCGAGAGTCCTTGCCTTGAACAGCCAGCCAGAGTAATCCCGTCCAACTTGCTGCAAGAATGATATAAGTTGATCAACTTGGCGCTGCCAACAAAGGTATAAATGGGAGCCAATATCCCGCGCTATCCTCTCAACCATTCCAACAATCAACCAGTCTTTTCTACTCTCAAACACCCTTTACCCATTTCAATCCCACAAAGCCCTCGCTCCGTCAACCTTCAATATGAACCTCCGCTCGCTCCTGCTCTACACCTCGCTCTTCGGAGGCATCATGGCCGCCAAATTCACCATTACTGCCGAGGACATGGAGAACATTGAAGGTGTCACGGATGCCTCTCAGTTGCCGGAAAACGTGCATAGTGCCCTTAAGACCAACGGCCCTTGCTGGATCGGTGATGCCTGTGCTCGTGTAAGTGACCCATGTCGTTTGTCGCTTCCCGAAAGCCGCTATTATGACCGTGATAGAAAGAAAGCTAACTGGTGCGTGTGGTATCTAGCGTGGCTGCTGCTTGCCGGTGAGTATTGCTCCGCAGGGTTTATATCTAACCTTCCCGACCCCAGACTGATTGATGCGTTTGACTGAACAGCATGGCTCTGTCGTCGGAGTTTGCACTGTAAGTCAAACCCGCTCGTTTATTGTCCCAACTTGGCTCACTCCTGCAAATAGTGCTAAACGCCTCAACCATTGCGTTGTTCTCGTGCGATGTCCCGTTTCGGGCGGGCGTTGACGCCAAGGTTTGGTCTTGGTATGGGTTTTTGGGCCTTAGATAGACGAGGTTTTTCCTGTACCTGTAATGCGAATGCAAGGGCCACTTTAATTATATCAAAATGCAGTTTACGACGATTTACAGATGCGAGAAGTACTGTAGTAGTTGTATACTTGTAGATGCTTCGTCTTCAGTCCACACTTCTCGGCCGGTGGGTATGAGACCGTAGATGATACTAATTATAAAGAGCCTTGCGTATGGATTTAATTTCTTTCAGCAAGCAGAATTGAACTCTGAACATGAAGGGGTATGCGCCCTGGGTGAGGTATTTGGTTGCTATGGGTGTGAGGTGATTGGTGACCTCCTTCGTTTGATGAAAAGAAAATCTTTGTAGGACAAGGCGTCGATTAACATGGGCTCAAAGCTTCGCTAGAAATCTAGCCAACGGATGAATGTTTGCATAATCACTGAATACCAGTGACTGCCTGGTGCTTATGCAAAATCGAGCTTGAAGAGCCAGCCTCTCCAACAGGAAACCCTAACCGTAGATCCATCCCCAACCATGTCCGAGCGGACCGAGCCAACCCCGGATAATCGGCTATACATCTACCATGTGATGCCTTGACCGGCGGGGAAGATGATGCCGAACTCATTTTGGGTATGTATTTATATACTCATTTACAGTATAATTTAGGCTGATGCATCGCGATTTAGAATACATACTACCTAGTGAAGCACAATGGCTTCCAACACCCGTATGGAACCCCTCAGCTAGCGGTGTCGAATGCTAACTGGAAGAAGCAACACTCAGAACCGCAGCAACCGAGTTACTGGGCATCAAGCACCCTGTCCTACTCGCTGGGATGTTCTCCGTCTCGTCGCCGAAACTGGCAGCAGCAGTGACAAACGCCGGCGGACTGGGTGTCTTTGGAGGCGCCGTATACACGCCAGCCGCCATGCGCGAAGCATTAGCGGAACTCAAAGACCATCTGCACGATAAGAATGCGCCTTTTGGAGTCGATCTGCTTACCCCCAAGGTCGGCGGAAATGCCCGCAAAACCAAGTACTGTACCGCCAGACAAGATATCCCCCGTTGAGACCCCCAGCGTGACGAAAATGCTAACCGAGGCCAGCCACGACTATACCCACGGCAAACTCGACGAACTGATCGAGATAATCATCGAAAGCGGCGCCAAGCTATTCGTCAGCGCCGTCGGACTACCGCCCAGACACGTCGTCGACCGACTGCACCAAAGCGGGGTGCTGTACATGAACATGATCGGACACCCCAAGCACGCACAAAGCGCAATCAACAACGGGGCGGATCTGCTCTGCGCGCAGGGCGGCGAAGGCGGCGGCCATACGGGGGACATTCCGACGATAGTCCTCATCCCAGCCGTTCGAAAAGTCATCAACGGGCAAAAGAGCAAGTTCACGGGCAAAGAGGTCGGGCTTATCGCGGCGGGGGGCTTATTCAACGGGCAGTCGCTAGCCGCGGCGTTGATGCTAGGAGCCTCGGCCGTGTGGATCGGGACGCGATTCATCCTGGCGGAAGAGTCGGGAGCGTCGAAGTACCATCAGCAGATGCTTGAGAAATCTGGGTTTGGGGATATTGTGCGGACGACGATCTTCACGGGCCGGCCGCTGAATGCGCTTGATACGCCGTATATTCGTCGGTGGGAAGGGGAGCGCCGTCAGGAGATGCTCGATTTGCAGGCTAAGGGCATTGTTCCTGTCCAGCATGATCTTGAGTCCAAGCCTGACGATGATGATCTTTTGGACAGTGCGCATTTATTGCCGATGGGGAAGGTGGCTGGGATGGTAAACAGTGTCCAGCCTGCTAAGCAGATTGTGGAGGATATGGTGGGCGAGGCTTGTTCGATGCTGTCGGGGGGCTATCGGGCGATGGGCAAGCTGTGACATACAAAGATGTGAATGCATGTGTATACAATTGGGATAGAGCAAAAATATCTACCCTAATGTTGAAATATTCAGCGCGTGTCCGTGGGGTTAAGAACGACGATGTGTTGGAGACAAATTCTGCAACCTGCCAAACTCTACTCATTCGACGGATTTTCCCCGACCCAAATTTGATATTTAGGTACATATTACATTTAACTGTCTGGCGCCGGCACATGTAGCCAGCGCTTGATCCTTGGACATTCCCAGAGCAGTTAGCCATATGTTCCACCGAAGTTCGTTGGGCTTGAGGATTGTGCTGGCTGAGAGATTGACAACCTCGCCACGGTCTTCGCAAAATAAGCTTGGTCTGCATACTACGGACCAGTCTTTTGGAAGCGAATGACCGGCTATAAAGGATGAGGGGAGAGTCAGGCTGTTAGAAATTTATGTCATAAATGCTCATGCTAAGGAAATGCATCTTGTATAAAAGTAGTCGGCTAGAAGGCTCGTTTTGCGGCCAATGTAGATATTCGAAACAATTTTTAATATCACTGCCTGAAATCTTGGGTCTCCGAATTATCTTTATTGTCCCAATTATGAATGTTCGAGACGAGGAATACCTTCAATATACATAGAAATGCAAGTAATTTCTAAAGTAGAGCGGGCCGACGTCTAACTCAGTAAGTCGCAGTTTCAACCGAAATGCACTCATCCACTGCCAAATTCTTCAAATCTCCTTGCAAACCATTCCAAATTGACCAAAATCTATAATTCTGGACAGCAATTGACACGATTGACAAAGTCAAGCCGCTAGGTTTGGTCTTGGGCGTAATTCCACGATGGCTCAGGTGTTGGGATGAGAGTCCTAGAAGTATATCGGAAGGCTTGCAACCAGCAGGACGGTGAGAGCCTCGGGGTTGCTGTTAACTCATAGTGCAATTATACAAGCGAGTCCATATCTTGTGTTTGACTACTGATCTGGTTAGTTGTGTTTGAGACCTTCGGACTTCCAACACGGGATACTGTGTTGTATTTGAGCGGATCGATTTGTGGTGCCAATGCTGAATGGCGCATAAGTAACCAAGCTACCTTCCTCTGGAGACTCTAACAATGGTTACTCAATACGAAGAGAGTTAGCCAGCCATAAAGATAAAGAAAAAGAAAAAAGTAAGGAAAAAACCTTATAGGGCTGGTCAAATGCTCCGTGACTTCATAGACACCTTAGGCCACAATATTTGTTACAAGCGGGTCAGTTGAATGAGTAATCAATGCGGGGCACGGTTCTCACCGCCTAATAGACCGCTGTATTCTGCCAGTCCTCCCATCGGCTTCTTTGTTGTCCTCAAATCTGGGGCCATGATTCTGACAACATTACTCCTTTTCTATACTATTTAAAATCATGCCTCCTCACGAAGGTCTAGTTCACCCCAAAGAGTACGACATCAAAGACAGCAATGTGGAGCTGATCGGATCCGACCTCGACCACCGCGTCAAGTACAATTCCGCCATCAGCGAACCGGCCTGGAACAACGGCAAAATCGGGCAGGAACCAGGACTCTTCATCTGGCGGATCGAGAATTTTGAGGTCATCCCATGGCCGAAGGAGCATGCGGGAGAGTTCTACGATGGCGACAGCTTCATCGTGCTGCATTCGTACAAGGTTGGAGACAAATTGGGCCACGACGTCTTCTTCTGGCTAGGCAGTAAGACAACGCAGGACGAGGCGGGCACGGCCGCCTACAAAACAGTCGAACTGGATGAGTTCTTGCACGGTGCAGCTACGCAGCACCGCGAGACGCAGGACCAGCCATCGGAAGAATTTCTCTCGCTCTTCCGCCAGGTCGTTATCCGGTCGGGTGGCGTGCGCTCGGGCTTCACGCATGTGGAAGCCGCGGCCCCGAAGGAGGTGCTGACGCTGCTCCGCATCTTCAAACACCCGCGCGCGAGCCGCTCGATCATCGTGTACGAAGTCGAACCGACGTGGGAGAGCCTCGACGAGGACGATGTCTTTGTGTTGGATAAGGGCGATAAGATCTGGGTGTGGCAGGGCAAGAGCTGCAGCCCCATGGAAAAGGCCAAGGCAGCTCAGGTGGTCAACGACATGACGCTGGCAAAGCACATCGATGTCGAGGTTCTGTCGCAGCTCGAGTCGCGCTCCAGCGTCATCGTGGGCTTGCTGGGCGGTCGAGATGTGAACCAAGCGACTTTCCGGGCCCCGCGACCGGGACGCTTCTCCAAGCAGGCGACGGAGGACATTCAGTCTCGACCGCGGAAGTTGTTCAAACTCAGCGATGCCTCAGGAACACTGTCGTTCGACCTTGTCAAGGACGGGCAGCGGGTTAGCCAGCGTGATTTTGACGGAAATGATGTCTTTCTTTATGACGCCGGTAATACGCTGTGGGTCTGGCAGGGCCAGGAGGCCAGTGAGCGGGAACGAGCTTTGTGGCTCAAGGTGGCCCAGCACTATATCCGTCAGCTTCAAGAATCCATCCCAGACGCGTACCTCACCCCGATTGCCAAGGTCGTGCAAGGGTATGAGGGTCCTGGGTTTTTGAAAGCACTTGAAGCGTGAACCGCTTTGATCGTTGCTATCCTTCAAAAACATTGAACGCCTGCCATCTAGTACAGCAAACTTAGAAGATCTTTTTGGAACAACTGGATCACATCTGGATTTAATTCTCAGACAAACAAATTAGATTATTATTCCGTCCATCCAAAATACCTGTCATCCTCCGAAATGAACGAAAGGGGTACACAAGCAACAGTGTCCATGAAAAAGAATCCTGAAACTTTCAGCGTCAATTAGCGTGTTTTTCTGTTTCGTTTTATGACTCGCTGTCCGACCAGATGATCGCCCATGTCAGCACGAGATATGAAGGCCGGTGAACCGACGAGCTCCTTATTCAATCAACTCTTCTTCGACAAGCACAAGCTCCCCGTTGATATTTCCAATACGTCTCGCCAGCTCAATATGTCTCGGTTGGAAAACCCCCGAATCATCGAGGAGCTCAGCGTGAAGGATAGGCACTCGTCTTGGCCCTTCTCTGGACACTCCGACGCTCCGGGCACTCTGGGTAAAGTTCTGCCCAGTCCAGGAGAAATTTCCTAGGTTGCGAAATAGTTACCTAGCTGTAAGTAAATGATATTGATGAAAAGACAAACCGTGCTCATTTCCCAGAAACTGATCGAGGACAATGTCGCTCGTCAGACCGGAGCCCTCTTCATTGTTGCAAATGGCAACGAGAGATGTTGATCCCCCAGGACTGGGGATGACTTCAATTTGGCAGGCGCTGTCTTGGAAAGACATGATGAATATATTGAGGTGATGTGTTCGAAATATGGGGTTCCCTGTGCTCGGAAAGTAGACATCTTGGTCTTATGTCCTACTTATGAGCAGCGCTATTGGAGGTAGACGGTTACGTATTGATGACGCACAGTTAATACTTCATAAATCATATTTCTTCCTTTCTTGGGGTGGCGTTTACTTGATCTGGCACCACTGCAAGGTGGGATGATCGCTGAATAATGTGGATATATCTGGAACCACGGAAACGAGTCCACAATCCTGGGGTAAGCTTTTGCAGTCCCATGGTTACATCCAGAAGCACTGATTCCATCCTTACTGCTGTATAGTTTGGCTAAGGCCTCAAGATGAGTCTATCCTCAGAGTACAAACATAGGATACACACAATATTTTACAATACAATCTTGAAGAGAAGAAGGGAGGAAGAGAGGAGATGAAAAATAGATAGAACCTGCGCAGATGCAAGAAAATAACCAACTCCCAATTATTATCCCTATCCCTATCCATGAAAAGCCACTCTAACAGCCACTCCACTTATTTCTCGCACATATGCCAATCGTCCAACGCTGCCACTGCAGTATCCAAGTCCTCTCCAAAAGACCCGATCTCGGCAAGCCGGAGGCTCTGCGTGCAAGCCTCAAGGTCTGCATCGACTTGATCGACATGCTCCTCAACATTACTCTCGGCATCCGAAACACGCTCACGAGAATAAACCGCCATGTAAAACCCGGCCGCACGGGGGTCGTCGGCGTCAGGCCAATCCCGAAGGAGCCCTTCGATGTGCAACTCAGCCAGCGCAGATGCACCTTCAATGTCACCATGCTCTGTCACAACCTCCAGCGCGACCTCGCCGTCACGGGCATCCTCGCCGTGACGATCCCACTCTTCTGTGGAGGTGAGCACCTTTACGTCCTCGTGGGCTCGGAGACACTTGAGACAGCTCAACAGCATGATGGGAGTGCATTCCTCGATACCGGGGCGAAGACGGAAGACGAAGTAGAAGACGTGTTCTTTGGGATTGCTCGTGATGGAGTTGCTCATGTTGGAGTCACTCATGTTGGCATCATCCATGCTGGATGCCGGTGGGGATGGAGTCTACGAGAAGTGTTAGTATTTCTAGAGAATGCTTGTCGGGGGGATAGTCAACTGCTTGGCTTGATAGTAGTTTGATGACTGAATCTGTGAGAGTTGGAGAGGTGGGATGAATGAGGATTAATTTGGCTGTAGGAGGTTGTATATATACCTGAATATATGAACACGTGCAGACACACTCGTGACCTAGCGTCTTAAGCCCATTGTGAGTGGTGCTATGTTGAGGAGACTCGCGATGCTGTCATTATAATCATTGTGGGGCTTCCAGGAGTCAGATGAAAGAGTAACAAAGACGGGCTCCAGTGCATTGTCTGTAACAGATGGCTGCATTGTCCCACTATAAAGACACGTATCTACATTAACTGACACAAAGCAGAACAAGTAGTCTGGATAAGAGGACAAGACCAACAAAGGGTCATTGTGTTGAGATGAAATCTTTCAACTTGGTTTGCTCGATTGTCTGCCTCCGAATCCATTCTGAGGATGCCCTATCCGTTTGAAAGAAAAGAACATGGTTATGGGCTTGGTACGCAGAAAGTGGTATATGGAGCTTGATATCTGATACTGCTTAGAATAATTCATTCTCCTGAACGGATTATCAAGCTAACATATGCTGGACCACGAGCTGTACTTCAAGGCTCACAAATGTAGACACGTATACACTAGCATTATCAACATTCAGTATACGTCTATATGTCTGGGCAACCTCCAGGCTAGACAATATCAACTCAGAAGGTTTCACATATCTAACCAACTAATTGAGTTCATCAGGAACAGAAACAACCCTGGCTAACAGGAGTGAAAATACCAATTGACAATATCAACAACGTGCAATGGATGGGCATTTTTACGGCAAAGCATACTCCACGACGATTATTTGTAGTCTAATAAATATTTTTAATTGAATCAAGAAACTTGAATAGTGCGATAAATCCGACGAGAATCAATATGTCCGTAAAAAAAGCCCGAAACACCCGACCCAGCCCAAAGTCGCATACAACGCCTGTCCTTTCCATTCTAGTTCCCCTGACCGTAAGCCCGATTTCTCTATTAACAAATACACCATACCATCCCATTTTCCAATAGCAAGACGCCATTTATCCAGAGACCAAATCGAGCGCCTAGCTTCCATCCCAGAACCAATAATCAACCCAAGTCCCCTGCGCCATACAACCAGACGAAACGAGAAGCATCGGAAGAGAAGAAACCAGCACCAATCTACCAATACAGCCATCAACACACGCCCCTCATCATATACACTCCCCAGTATGCGCTATGTTACAGAGCATACAACGACGATCATTTACTTTCGTCATGGAGCGGGTCACGCGACGAGTCGGAGTATTAGGCGGAGAAGGCACCGGGATCGGTTCGAATTTTGGCATGTAACCAGGCGCTGGCGCTGGCTCTGGCGCCGGCTTAGGTTTTGTCACTGATTTAGCCTTAGGCTGGGGCGGTGCGGTACTGTCCGGCGTAGAGGGCTGATACTTGACGCGGCGGAAGGTCGGTCTGGTACCTTGCAGGGCAGAGTGGCGGGATGTGGGCTCGCCGTCGTCGTCGGGTTCGTCGCGGGAACGCCATGGGGGGATTTGGACCTCCACTTTGGGGTACTTGGCTTTGATGCTATCGGCAACGGGGTTGGTTTTTGTTTTTTTGATGTAGCTGACGTTGTTGGCGCTGCTGCTATCGTCCTCGTGGACGTCTTCGAGGTTGCGGCTGCCCCAGGCGGTGACCCAGAAGGTGAGGCCGGCGTACAGTTTTATAAGACTGTGGAAGTAAGCAAAGAGGAAGTAACCAGGAAGCATGATGAGGTCTTGGGGCTCGCGGAGAAAATAAGGGGTAAGCTTGACCATCTTTGTGCAGAAGATCCACATCGCGAGGAGGGTGAGGTTTCGGACACTGCCGAGGGGGCTCCTGTAGAGGATGTAAGCGAGAGCGGCGTCGTAGAAGAGCGCGAAATTGACGAAAGAGGTGAGGTAGACGGCGTAGACGCACCAGGGCTGGCGGTACCAGACGGTGCGGTCGGTAAAAAGACTGCATGAATTGCTCCGCCAGGTGGTGCGCACCCAGCGGAGACACTGGGAGAGGAACGTCGGGTAGGTGCCGAGAGTCGTCTCAATCAGGGCGTCGGGGCAGTACTGGATTTTGACCTTGTACCCGTGCGAGACGTTCCAGCGGGTGATGTAGTTGTCGTCATCGGCGTTCAGGGGGCCGAATTGACCGAAGAAGAAGCGTTCGTTGGTGAATCCCGTGAGGAAGGCAAAGCTCTTGATGATCTTGGTGCGGTGGGCAGAGGTGCGTCCCGAGACGACAAACACGCCCCCGTCTACCCCATTGGTCGCGCGGATCTCGAAGTTATGGCGCTCCAGGTAGATGGCCCCGAGCATGTTCCAGAAGGAGCGGAAGTTGAAGCCAGTTTCGGTGCGACGGACGCGCTTGTTGGTGCCGACGATCCCAACGCTGGGATCCTCGAACGGGGCGAGGATCGTGGGAAGGAATTTAGGGGACGGCCAAAATACATGATCATCCAAAAGAACTGTAATTGCGGTATTGGCGGCTTGCACGCCGTGGGCTACCTGGAGGCGCTTGTTAGCATGTTTGGTGGTCTGGACGCTGATGGTGGTGTTGGGATATCGCGCTTGGATCGGAGCTATGATGCGCTTGGTCAAGGTTGTCAGTTTGTGTCCTACAGTGACGATGATGATGGCACCTGGCCGATTGTCCAAACATGAGTTGATGCACTCTTTGAAGTCTCTGTTTTCAGGGTCGACAGTGGGTAGGATAACAGTGCAGTCCGATGGATGTAGGGTAGGGCTCGAAGGCACTGGAGTTGGCTTGTACAAGTACCAGAATGAGAAGATGTGTACGATCAGACGGAGATACCTGAATATGAATAGTCCAATAAAAAGCACTGTCTTTCGTTCCGACCACCCTTTTTTAGACTGGAGCTCGAGATTGAGCGGCCGCGTTAGCGCTACCCAATTGCACCAGACGTTGTTCAAAGGGCTGGGCAGGTAACGCCATGTGTCAGATACCACGGGTGCGCTGAATACATAGGAGACCAAAAGGGTCAGGTATGGTGATGTGAGAGCAAATGGCAAGAGAATAGATATGATTAGTCGACACATCTTGTGCAATTGAAATTGGTTATGAGATTGATTATGAGAAGAGAACAAAGAAAGCTCACGGACTATATATACTTGTCGGAATGAGTTGATGTTTGATATCCAGTGAGAACATCTTGGAAAACATGATCATATATGATTTCATGCATCACAAAGAGTTGTATGATGAATATATCGAGTGCAATATCACTGGTGAGACAAAGGAGCTGCTGTATCAAAGGGTGTGTAGAGAAGAAAGAACAAGGAGCGACAAAGAATACATGGATATTGTAAGAATGATATTGGTGTTCCTTTCACTCAATGTCATTCTATCACTTGTTCTACAAAGAGCCATGATGCTTCAAAGGGCGATCCATGGCTCGATATATGTGGTAAACAAACACCCAGGAACATTGCTTTGTTATGCAACTCGCTCTATGACAACGACAAAGAATCATCCAATTGGGACCGAATTCTATCTAGGCCGAGGATGATACAGGACAGTATATGCTCACGACTTGAAGGCTGCATTACAATGCTAAACGGATGTCGGTGATATTGTCTGTTAACTCATATTCGAAGGTATTTCAGGGACTGGACATTTCAACTACGATCCCAAAATCAGATCTTGGCGTAGAATACCTAGACTAAAGCATGATCTTGAAAACAGATTATATGGGCTGTCCTAGAGCAACAATACCATGGATAGGTTGTAAGGCTTCACCAACGTATGCTGTAATATAAAAAACGGAAAGGCGATGGCTCACTTTAATGAGCTGCTTTTTTAGCTCTATCTCCAAGTCTATACGTTTCCTGGCGAGTGGAATCAAAAGCCAAGACGAATGCTGCAAATACCCATACACAAAGACACGGGTATAGACCGGAGATCGATCGTTTCTAGATTTAGGTTGGCTGTTGATTGAACTGAAATCGCATATCGGGACCTATACAAATCTTGAACGAAGGGGGATAAGAGTATGAGCATGATTATGAGCAGCTATCCAAACGATGATGAATGACCTGAATGCCTTCACAGGAGATTTGAGACTATGTAGCTGAATTGATATGGATCATTGATTCTCAAAATATACATTCTAAACAATTATAAGCTCCAAAAGTTATCAGATAGTACAGCCGTTGGAGAAATGTCCGCTTATAGTATTAGTGGTCAAGCGGACAAACGACAGTCTAGATAACATCATTCCAAGACGTTATATAATTTCTACTGTCTACTATTCAAAGGTTTCTCAGCTCCATCGATCGAAAATGTATACTCGATCTCTTTGAGGGCCTCATGTCAACCATGAATAGTCCCAGTAAACAAGAGACAAACAACACTCAGCAACAGACGATATCAATCACTCAGGAATACACACGGTGAAAACCGGCCATCGGCCTAATCCACGACCAATATACTATCTAATTCTATAAATATACACAGGCAATGACAACCTCCGATGCAACCATATCATAATCTCTCCATTGCCACCATCTACAGATGGTTTCATGCGGAAGTACGAGATGCAAATGACGCGACGCACGGCAGAGTCAACAAGGGCAAGGTCGCTGTACCAGCTATCTAGCGTGTGTGTAGACTTGTATACTTCTAGCTTGAGATGTTCTTCTTCACTGCAGTTCTAACATTTAAGTTTTATGTGATGGATGATTACTCTACAGGAGTCTCAAAGAATTCAGCACGGGGTCTGCTCAATCAAGACAGAAATTGCATCAGCCCATCAGCCCCAAATCTGCCATATCAGTGACGTGAAACCTACTTGACACAGGGCATATAATTTCCCAGGTTTGACAGCTCGGGATTCGGCATGTCGAAGTCTGACATCAGAAGTTAAAATTGACCTTGAGGCACGCCCGGCTGTACGCTACCGCGGGTGAATGAAGCAAGGTTTTACAGCGCAACGCAAAATCTATCATAATGAGCTCAGATACACGAAACTATTTTCCCAGGATTAGGCAATTATGAGTCTGCCAAATGAGCCAATTTCCACTATGGAGGATATATAATTGTGTTTCTCCCGGGGAGTCGCTCGAATCCTCTTACACCCACCTCTAACCCTTCCTTCTGCTACGTGCCCCTACCAGGGACTTCCTCCCACCAGTCCGTTTTTGTCCTCAATATCCTCCAAACAAACAACAACCTCGGTCGTACATTGAAAGAAGCAAACAGCAAGATGAAAGTCATCTCGATCCTCCTCGTGGCCACCACCGCCCTCGCCTCCTCCACCTGCAACATCGGCGCATTCCGCTGCCAGAACCGCAACCCCGTCTACGCCGGAAACAACACCTCGTTCACCGCCAGTATCTGCAAGCAGCTGAACGGACATCTCTGCGGCTGCGATCGCTACGATGGGGACTTCTGCCACCAGTGCAACACGGAGGAGTTCAAGCATCTGTGCGTTAAACCCGGCCAGGGCTGGTTCTGGACCCAGTGCTAGATAACGAGGGAAAACTATCTCAATGGACGATGCTTTACACAATCGGTTTTTTAATTCTCTTCAAGATTACTGTGGATGGTTATGAGCTGTGTAGTTGGATGGAGAAGACCTATGGGGAAGTTTGAAGTTTTGATATTTTGTTCTGTGTTGCGAAGATGACTGCCAGATAGTGCAATGATTGACATGCTTTGGCAAGATATCATAACGTAAAATTTACATTTCTCTGTTGGGTCCTGTCAAATATTCTACCGTAGTATGGGCCATCTGATGTTGGAATTTCCCATTGCAGGCCCACCGATAAGTGACCGACTAAAACGTGCCACAAGACGCGGAACAGTACGCCCTGCCAAGGCGATTGTACAAAGAATAGAGTATCAGATGTGGGTTTCAAATTCTATCCAGGTCAACCCTTGAAGTGTCTTGTTCAGGGATAGAGTTTCGACCACGGTATTTCTCACATTGTCGAGTTCACCATAGACGTCCCAAGTTATACAGATCGGGATTTGCCCACGTGGTGCATGCCAGAGACAGGGGTTTGTGGGAAAGCCGATTCACGATCACATTGGTTTAACATTCTAGAATGACAGATTGTGGAGCCGAGGGGGCGTGGGAGGTGGTCCGTTATTCTCAGTCCTGCAGATATAGTGTCTGCAAGGGATTTCTAGTTATTTTATCTCAACTCCACCCAAAGCCGAGGCATTAAAAACACGGTGAGATTCAACACGGCCCTGCTCGAGAAATCGTGTTAATCTAGCAGCTAGCTCCAGTCATCAACCATGTAACCACAATATCTATCAAGATAATCCTCCTTCTTATCGCCGCTGAATACATAATCGGCTTCTTCCGAACCTCTCCGCACCAGAAGATCGCAATTTCCGCCAAAAGGGTGATACGACCCGATGCAACCATTCGCAGACGCGACCGAAAACAGGCAGCGCGCGCGGGGTCAACACCATTCTTTCCCCATACATGTATATCAGCTGCACAATACCCAACGAGTGGACCTGCCCACTCGAGGCACAGCAGCGCCGATCGCGGACCCGCCTGGACTTGCCCAATCGCGTTTAGGCAACGATCGTCAGGGCTCCACACTGTCTGCGAGATCATAACGAAATGCGGTGTTTGCTAGCACCTATCTATCTGTCCCGGCCGGGGTAGGTATTAAAGCGGGCCTGTCGCGGTCGAGCGTCATGGCGGTCGCAACTCTGGGTTTTCCATCCGGTGATAGCGTCGAAGTCACTACTTTGCCATGATGTTTGTGCATTCTTCAGTCGCGGTGTTGCTGGTCGCCGGGTTGCGAGGTGTGGTTGGTGCGGTGAATCCCCCGCATGCTGACCAGGGGACGTGTCAGAAGACTACGGTGGCTATCTTGTATGTTCTCTCCCTCTATGTGCTCTTTGTGTGAGGTTATTGTGCGATATGGGTGCTGACTTAAAGTAGGGGCGGTGGAATGGCGGGTGTTGCTGCCGCGCAGACTCTGTCCAATTCGTCGGTGCATGATTTCTTGATCCTGGAGTATCGGGACCGCATTGGGGGTCGGGCCTGGCATGAACCCTTTGGCAAGGACAAGGATGGCAAGCCGTACACGATTGAGATGGGGTGCAACTGGGTAAGCCGATCGTGCGTGCGTGTGTGTGTGTGCAGATCGGGAGCTGACTCGCGCAGGTCCAAGGGCTGGGAAACCCTGGTGGGCCTGAGAATCCGGTGTGGACTCTGGTGGGTTCTGCAACTCTAGATCGATGGGTCTGTGCTGATCTGGACAGGCAAAAAAATACGACCTGAAAACCCATTACTCGAATTACGATAACGTCTCCACTTACAACGAACACGGATACAAGGACTACTTGGACCTGCAGGATGAGTACGACGTTGCGTATGAAGATGCCGAGGAGCGTGCTGGTCGGCTCCTCAAGGACAACCTCCAGGACTCAAATACCCAGACCGGACTGGCGATGGGCGGATGGAGGGCGAAGCCGCACGATATGGAGGCGCAAGCGATTGAATGGTGGAACTGGGGTATGTTTTTTAACCATGCATATCAGACCACCATGTTAACAGTGTCAAAGATTTCGAGTGCTGCTACGCCCCGCAGGACAGCTCCCTCGTGTTCGGCGTAGCCGGCAGCAACCTGACCTTCAACACCTTCAGCGAACAAGACAACTTCGTCATCGACCCGCGCGGCTTCTCTAGCATAATCGACGGCATGGCGTCAGAGTTCCTGAAAAAAGACGACCCGCGCCTGCGCCTCAACACCCACATCACGGACATCAGCTACACCAACGACGGCGTCACCGTCCACAACGCCGACGGTAGCTGCGTGCAGGCCGACTACGCGATTGCGACCTTCTCGCTGGGCGTACTCCAAAACGACGCTGTGTCCTTTGAGCCGCGCCTCCCCGACTGGAAGCGCGAATCGATCCACAAGTTCACGATGGGAACTTATACCAAGATCTTCCTCCAGTTCCCGGAGACTTTCTGGCCAGCCGACACGGAGTACTTCCTGTACGCGGACCCGCACATCCGCGGCTGGTACCCGATCTTCCAGTCTCTGTCAACGCCGGGTTTCATCCCAGGATCGAACATCCTCTTCGTAACGGTGACGAACGAGCTCGCGTGGCGCGCCGAGCGCCAAGGCGACGACAAGACCAAAGCAGAGATCATGGCCGTCCTGCGCAGCATGTTCCCCGACAAGAAGATCCCAGAGCCCACGGCGTTCATGTTTCCGCGGTGGAGCACGGAGCCCTGGTCGTACGGCAGCTACTCCAACTGGCCGGCGAGCACCACGCTCGAGATGCACCAGAACCTGCGGGCTAACCTCGGCCGGCTGTGGTTTGCGGGTGAGGCTACCAGCCCGACGTACTTTGGGTTCCTGCACGGCGCGTGGTTCGAGGGCCGTGCGGCGGGGCGGGAGATCGCTGCTTCGTTGCATGGCTGTAAGGGGAGGAAGGTGCCTGGCTGTCGGGGCCGGAAGCACTATGAGCTGCTGCGGGGAACGACTCCGCTGGCGGATTATTCGATGGTGAATGGATGGAATGGGAATAGTTTCTATGAGAGTGATCCGGAGGAGGAGTAGATGAGAACTGTCTATAGGCCAAATGGTGGATTGTATACATCTAAATTTTGTTTTCTGGACTTATAATCTAGTACCTAGTACAAGTTTGATTGGTTGATCATTACTTTTTAGCGAGGAAGGGATTCTAAGAAAAGAGTGGCAAGTATACAGCATTTCAAGGTGTGAAAGCAGGCCGGGTCAGAAAAAGTCCATATAACAGGATTCATAGACCTGATATCCCAGTCACTGATATGGTAGGATAGGGGTCTGATCAGTCAGTGGTGATACAAAATGTACTATATTATATCACTGTATTTCAAGATATATAAAATTAATATTGTCTACTGTCAGTTATAGGCGCTTTGGCACTAATCTATAGCCCCTGTATGGAGCAATGTGACTTAAAATTTACATGCTGACCAGACCATAGGTACCAGAGGCTATCTTGTTTGTGGACCTTATATTACATTTCTACTCTGAGGATTACTATATCTTTACTATGCGTGCTATACATTGTTTCTCTTTAGCTTTAATCTATGGATATGATGGAAGTAATTATGTGGTAAACATGTCGTTGGGCAGTATCTGTATCTGATCATTTATCATAAATTCTTCTATTTAAATCTTTTCCCGACACATTCCTCGTTGTATATACGTTACAGCTACTCCATTTTATATCATTTCTATCATTTCCCACAAGGTCTACCCAAGTCATCGGATGTCACGGTGATTGTGGGGTAAGAGAGAATATGGCAGTGGCCAACACGTGCGATGACTCGATTGGCCAGCCCTGAAGCACTTCGACTATACCACCTCTGATCAACGCAGTCGATCATATCTAGTCTTTTGAGATGATTCCATAAGTAGCCTAATTGTAGGAGACTGGAGATGCTCCGCGCTAACTAGCAGATCAACAACAATATATCCTGGTGGCGCTTCTGCCTCGCCAAACCCACGTTATTATACCCATTAGAAAATGTGGTCCTATTGCAACCCACCCAGCTCCAGCAGAGAACGCACAATGCATGCATTCCCATGAACAACACAATCAGCAAATTCCGCCAATAACGCAAACTGGACAGGGACATGGTGTTGGTGCCGCAGGACCTACGTAGCAGAGTGACGGGGCTGCTCAGCCTTCTCAGTGAAAGACATATAATACTCAACAAACCCTCGCCATGCGGTCACGGTCGGCCATGTCTTTCAATGCAACAACAATTTCAACCCTCTCAATTGCGCTGGTTATACGATGTCATATTCAGCAGCGGAAAAGCAGCGGGTCTTTCTCGCGTGCAAGCCAATCTTCGCCGGTCCCCAGGCAGGCCTTCGGAAGTTGAAAATCATCAAAAAGCGTATCGCGGATCATGAAAATTTGATTCGCCCGATGCTGCCTGGATTTAACCTCAAGAGGACTGCAGGAATTGCCAAAGACCTGCTGCAACGAGAGGTGTTTCAGCTCGACATGAAAGCCCGAGTGGAGTTTCCAGACCTGTATGTCTCCTCGCCAGCGAAGGAAGTTCAACACGATGCATTTGAAGACGAAGCCGCCCGATCTGTCGCTGAGAAATTGAATGACATTGCATCTACCTACGAGCGAGACGAGGCGCAGGACACGCAGGAAACAATCCCTGCCCCAATGCCGGCTGCGGCGCAGCAGCCCCCTCCTGTGGCGGATGTAGGCGCCCATGCCACCATCTCTCCTGGTAACATCTCATCTACTGACGCCGCGCCTACCCCGCTGATGATTTTCTGCACAGCCACGGAGAAGACGCTGACCCCAGAGCCGCAAGCGACGTCGCCGTATCCGTCGCTATATCCGTTATATTTCCCCTATCACGCGCAACATTCGATCTTATGCACGGTTCAAAAGACCCTAGAAGAGAGCTGCTTCGACTTTGCCCGGAAATGGCTTCCGTCGGAACTGGAAGACCGTGGCTGGGACTGCGCTATGGCGGTAGAGCTCACCAAGTGGACGAATTTCCTGCCCAGGTGGTCTTCACGGCTCCCTGACGGCTCGCTACAGTTGCAAGCTGCGGATCTCGGCGCATTAATGTCAGTGATTCGCAAAATTCGACACACTGCCGTGCACCGACTCCCGACGACCGCGCGGGGGATCGCTTCGTTTGTCGCGTCGGCCACTAAGCTAGTGGAAGCGCTTGGGGATACGCCGCGTCTGTCGCAGCTAGAAGAACTTCACGCGGATATACAGGAGAAAATCAAGATCATGGATTTGACAAAGAATGCGCTCGAAGATCAGCTGTCGCGGGACTTGCGAGCCATCCAACTGCGGAGGGAGGAATTAGATCGACAGGAAGAGTTTCTGAGGCTTCAGACGGTGAGGAATGACAGGGAGAATAAAGCTCTGATGGGGGTTTTAGTAGAGGAATATATCGAGGGTCCTTTCCATCGTAGGATAGTGGATGATTCGGGTTTCGCCACGGCGGATGAAGGGGACGACGACTAGGCCGTTGTCCAAACCTGCCCTGGTCTGGTGGAGGCTTTCAGTCATTTTTGCTTGATTCACCTCGAGTATGGATTCTAGTGCTATTTTAACAATCTTATACCTGTTCAACAACCACTACAGAGTGACATAGGATTCGAGGTAACTACAGAGAATTGCCACCGTAGTGTCTGCCTGAATAGTGTCAGAATGAAAAGTTTCTCCATACTAGCACGTCCCGATGACCAACTAGTATTGGTCTAACTCTGCCCTCACGCCAACCCAGTGTGGTCAGCATATAAGTCAATCTGAAAATCCATCTCTCTCCAGCTAAGCCTCCTCCCCTTATTTCACTTAGAACAAGATGTCCCCGATTTCACAGTCCCCGCAAAGCATGCCTAAGGTCCGATCCGGATGCGTCACCTGCAAGTGGGTTTCCCTCTGTTTTTGCTTTGAACAATCAATCTCTATAGTATGCGATGTCATTGGAACCTCTTTAGTACCAGCTTCGGGCGTTGTTCCTCTCTTCTTTGGTAACTGTACTAGGGCGACCGTTACTTCCATACATAATCTACTATGCATGTTATACATTTTCATAGCAGAGGATATGTCGATAAATATTTATGCATCACTAGGCGTTCCGAACGCATAGCCGAGCCGATGCCGTAGAACTCGGCATGCCGATCTCTCTCAGTACCTAATAATTATCTCGTGCACAAACTGGTCGATGGTCAACATCGCTGGCTACCTTGGACGGTACATTTCGAATGTTTCTAGCTCTCCCTACCTGCTAGTATCTAGTCATTTGTTAGCCCAATCCCACAGTGTTATACCAAAATATTATTGCACATTTATCAAAGAAACTTATTACATCGAATCCATGCTACCACCTACCTAGTATGTAACTAGCGCAGTTTACCCCACTCCAACCTGACAACCAAATCTCCCCTCACAACCGCATCCCCAAACAAGGATATTACCAATCACCACCCCCCACTCTTGATAGGACCACCAACAGTTGAACCATGCTCTCCAAGCGATACATATCCAGCCTCATAACCATACTTCTCTTCCTTCTCCTCGGCGTACTCTTTTGGTTCAACTCTACCTCCAATTCTCTCCTACCGCAAACTCTCGCGCCCACCATGTCCATCACGCACATTGTCCTTTTCCAGTTCAAGGTGGATGCACCTCCTGCGGCCGTCAAAGACGTAAGTATATTGACTTTACCCCATTTCCCCACCCCGCAGTAGTACCCCATACTAGAAGTACCGCTTCTGTTTTGTAGAAACACGTATTGACATAAACAGGCCTGTTCGCGCATGCTCGCCCTAAAAGATAACTGCGTCCACCCTGCCTCCCAAAGACCGTATATCAAATCCGCGGTGGGAGGGGCCGATAATTCGCCCGAGGGGATCCAGGTATGTGTACATTATCCCAATGCCTACATACATAGTGGTGTCAATTCTAACATGGCGAAAGGGAGGAATCACGCATGCTTTCGTTATGGAGTTCGCCACAGCCGAGGATAGGGAGTATTATGTGTCGAGTGATCCCACGCATCAGGAGTTTGTGAAGAGTCTGGGCGGGATTATTGAGAAGGCGCAGGTTGTTGATTTTGCTAATGGGGTGTATTAGAATAGTACCTACATGCTTGCTGTGTGGTGGCTGAGCTCTGCCCCCTACTGCCTCTGTCGTCTCAATACATACACACTACATACATATAGTTCTGCCAGTTCTGCCATCTTACAAACATTGAAAATTACATTTACATAGCCCACTAAACAGCCTACAGATAGCCTGCACAAAACTCAAGTCCAAGGGCCCCAGTTCCCGAATCATTCGCTGATCTTGTTCACGATAAGCGCGACACTTTGTAGTATTGGACGTTTTGGTTGGTTCGCGCGTCTCGCGGCTCCTTGTCGATCAGTTCGATTCTCTCGCTGTAGACCGGGAAGTCGTGGGCGGCGAAGTAGATATCGCGGTCGGATGGCATGTCAATCGAGATATGTGGAAGCTGGGCATTTGTGCAGAGTAGAGGAAGTAAAGGGTCTATTTCGCAAGGGGGAATATTTGAGGGGGTGAGGCCGCGACGGGACAGCTTTCTGGACAGGCCGGACTGTCCGAAGAGGAGTCGGTAGGAGAGCAGCACTTCGCGGAGTAATTGGGATATGTGGTCTGGGGTGGTGTCGGGGTGGTCTACGCTTGCGAAGGCGTAGAACAATTCGCCTTTTTGCAGCGCATGCAGACAGAAGGACGGCTAGGTGAATATGGAGATCTTTTGCTGGACTTATCATAGTCGATGTGGAGGGCAAGGGTATCTACCCAGCGGATGTGCACGTGGAGGAGGGTCTGGAGGAGATAGGCGTTGGTCTCTTTTGGGTACAGGGGCAGCCAGGATGGCAAGGTCATGCTTTTCTCGGACGCGACCTGTTCCAGGGCTGCAGACTTGAGAGGAATAAAGCTCCCGAATGCTTTGGGCAAAGTTGGCAGGGGGAGAGAAGATGGATATTCTGCTGGTTGCTTGTATTTATTGAATACAAGGCCAGACTGTGGCTGGGGGGAGACTTTGTGGATCGCTAAATGGTCGCGCGAGCAGACATTGAAGGCCGCTCAGAAGAACATTGAGCGCCAGCCTAGCACGGCGAAAATGAGAAGTCGCTGCGATCCGAGAACCTCATGTTCATGTTCGAGCAGTTCAAGGCATCGCAGATGCGAGATAATACCGTCTATTGTGGTGTCTTCATCTTGAGGATCATAAACCTGGATAAAACCCTGCGGAGTCAGTTGGGATGTTGGCCCGATTGTCTGTCTCACAAGAGGCAGTGTCTCACGGATGGTTATTCGATTTCATATTGAGATATCGGTCATACCGATCTAGCCCAACCAAAGCGCCGATTTGGTGTTTGGGTGCAGTGACTGAGAGTTATTACTAAAATATCGCCAGGAGATCCAAAGAAACCCCTTAGACGGGACGACCAGAGGTTCACAAAATCTGTATCCTGGGATCTACATAATCTAGTGTTTCATAACGGTCTTGGAGGATATCCTGGCGAGTAGACGTCAACCGGCATCTGTCATGCCTTCGTCCGATTCGGCAGCTATAAAAAGAAGCGCGGGCGAAAAAGGATTAGTGGAGAGAGATACAAGGGCCAATTCCGCTGCTCCCCGTCAATGCGGGGTCTTGTCGCCTGAAAACTTTCACGTCAATGCCGCCAGTCGCATCATGTCGATGGTAGATCATTCCACGCCGTTCCTAGGAGCTTCCACAGCGCTATCTGCACTGCAAAGCAACTGCAAAGATGAGAACCATACTAGTGTCATATGGCAAGCGGCTATCGACAGGTACTACGCCGAGCTCCGAAGGGGAGGCGTCAGAGGCCCTGTGATCGACCACGATCTTTGGAGTATCCACAGTCCTGGTGATCTCCTGAAGCAAATAGACAGTCTGGCTCCGCCAAACTCTCGTACGGCGGGGAGCTGGACGCGATCGTTGCGGCGGCTAGAGGTCCTACTGAGTATCAATGATTTTGTGGCCGTATTCACGTTGTCGCTCGGTGTGAGAGGTCAGGTTGCAGCTGCTATATGGGGCTCAATCAGATTGTTCATGAAAGTAGGTGGAGCCTCGACGAGGAGATACATAAAAATGTATCTTGCTGAGCTCTTTAGTTTTCCCAACCCGTCCTTCCAGAACTCGTCGACATGTTCGAGGAATTGGGCCGTGCTCTGCCCAGGTTCCGCCAATACGAGCAGGGACTACCAATGACGCGGACGCTGGAAGATGCCCTTATGAAAACATATACTGAAGTCATAGTCTTCTGTGCGCATTCAGTTGCCTTCTTTCGGAACAACCCCAATATCGCCAGAAGTCGAAATTTGTGGTCCGAGCTTAGCAACGACTTTGCCAAAGTTATTGCTAACATACGGCGGTACTCCAGACAGGTCGACGAAACAGCGGATACGATACGCCTAGCCAGGGAAAGTCATACGGCGGACACCATTGAGGCCTTCAAAAGCTTGGGTCTCGCCGAGTCAAAGAAGGCAAGCATTCCGTGCTATATGATACCGTACGGCACAAATTTGAGAAATTTCGGGAGATCGTCCGAAAGAGAGAAGCTCAAAAACATCCTTAGACCCGACGAAAAGCGCGACGAGTTGAGTGTTGTCACCATATATGGCATTGGAGGTGTAGGGAAAACCCAGGTTGCATTGGAATACGCAAACACATTCAAAGACCAGTACGACATGGTGGCATGGATTCCAGCAGACACGCAGATAAAAATCGTCCAAGCTGTGACAAGATTGGCAACGAAGCTTGGTCTCCCGAATACCACCGATGGCGCGGACGACGACTATCAGTCTGTAACCAAAGTGAAAGACTGGCTCAACACATCTGACAAGACGTTTCTTCTGGTTTTCGACAATGTTGAGGAACATCAACTTTTGGACCAGATCTGGCCATCCAGCAAAAGAGGGTCGATTATAATGACATGCCGGTCCCAGTCGCTCGCCAGCAAGCGTGCCTGGGAAATGATGCATCTCCAGTGTTTTAGTATCAGCACAGGCGTCGAGGTGCTTTGTTCACTGACGGGTAGACGTCCATCAAACGAGTACGATACAAAGGCGGCTATGGAATTGCTCGGCCTTCTCGGGGGCTTTCCTCTTGCCCTAGTCCATGTCAGCGAATTTATGACTGACCGGAGCTACTCATATGAAGAGTTTCTACCTCTTTACAAGAAGTCAGCTTCCAAAATCTACACCAGGGCGGGAGCACCACTGCATTATGAGCATACGCTGAGCACAGTCTGGGACAATGCTATACGGAGTCTTTCAACCGAATCGAAGGCTTTGCTGAATTTGCTGGCTTTTTTCGACCCCGACCTGATACCAGAATTCATTCTTTCCAACGAAAAATCCGAGGTTACGGATCCTAACTTACAGTTCCTTTTTGATGAATTTGAGTAGGTGTGCAATACCTCAAAGATGCTGTATGCTGACATGTGCAGTTTCGGAGAGGCAGTCATTGGCCTGACGAAGGCTTCGTTGGCTCATCGTCTATCCTCGCACCAAGCCTTATCAGTCCATCGCTTAGTGCAGTTTGCCATCCTTTCGGGACTAACAGACGAAGAAAAGCAGAAATACCACAATTGCGCAGCCAACCTACTCTCCTGTAGCTTCCCGAATGTGTGGGATGAAAGATCACACGAACAAGGGCATAGTTGGGCGTCCTGGGAATCATGCGGTGCAATGTTACCTCATATCAGCCATCTTATGGAGCTGACCGAGGAACACTCGCTCAAATCAAGCAACATGGACGACCGTTTTTCGGAATTGGTACTCCGTGCCGGAACGTGAGTCAGAGCTCTTCTACCACACGAATGATGCACTTACACACAATGTAAAGATAGATACCTTTGGGAAAGTATGAGATCAATAACAATCATGACAACCAAGAGTGAGTTAAGAAGATAGTATGGAATTGGCAAAACAGTGATTGAATTTTCAGATCCTGCTTGATAGTCAGGTGAGAAACATTCGCCATCCTTCCTGCTATGGCTGTGGCAATAAATCACTATAAGATTTTTACAATGTTGGGTATATCAGTAGGTTAAGCCCTTTACCAAACATTGGTCAACGTTTTGGCATAGCGGCTAAGATAGAAAAAAAAATCTTATATGATTATATATAGTCTACAATTATTTATACTCATATTATAATCAGTCATAGCCAGTCGCGACTATTGGATAATCGCTGGCAACCCCCTGCAACGTTTACCATCGCCCACTATGTACCAGAATTCTTTTTGCTATTTCCCCTTCTTTACAATGTTTCTGGTTAATCATAGACCAGAAATCTATCAAAGTAGCCAGTCCAACAATCGGCGATACGCCCTACAATATGGAACAGCGCAGCGCCTATAGAACCACACAGACATCACGGGATTTAGTCTCACTGTAGGCCTTGAGAGCGCAACTTCGACGCGAGCACTGAAACTCCGAGACCATAATACTGATTGCTATCATCATTAAAGAAATAAACATAGCCCTCTATTCTTCTTCTTTTTTTTTTTTTTTTTTTCTTTTTCGCAGCGCCAACGTAAGCTCTCTGGAAGGTGACATATCCACATCATTCCTTTTGCAGAACGACTAACCAGTGTTATGGCCAAGTTAGCGCTCAATAATCTCTAGGAAGTCGACAACTAAATTATCCAAGGCCTCGGTTATCCTCCATGCGACTATTCCATCAACATCTTTTCCTTAGTCTCAGATCGTTTCACTGATCAAGAAGCCACTATGACAGTCTACCTCGCTATTCCTATCCTCGACGAGCTCGTTCGAATTGTTGAAGATCACCCCGATCACGAAGACACGGTAAAGGCAATGGCTTCTGGAATTCTCAACTATCACTTCCCACCAACAAACGGGTACACAGTCACTCCTGAGCAAAACAGTGATTATACTGCAATGGTCACTCTCCGCATCCGACGCTACTTTCCCGGAGATCGAGGTCTTGCTGACCACACCGTCGTTGGAGTGGAGCGTGCAAAAGATTCGCTGAATGCATCGTTGGGGCAATTGGAGAATGCCCTTGAACACATCAATATCAAATTCGGAAGAGGTTGGGCGATTGTAGTTCATGGGTACACCTTCAACTTCTATGAATACCACGCAAGCCTCCCTGAGCACGCACGCCTCATTCCTTGGGGGCCTCCCAGCCAGCAACAGCAGAACTCATTCCATGCGCGTGAGGACGGTGTTGTGATTGATTGGATGCTGCGGCACATGGCACAAAATGATAGGCCCGTTAATATGTAGAGCAATCTTGACGAAAGACTTTTCCGAGCAAATCTTCAAGACAAGACTCGAATATTTCCGCTTTCATGAAAATTTTGGTGAGAAATGTGCATGCATATATGTATTTACTTCAGAATCCACCCCAAAACCACAAGAAACAACACCAAGTGTAGCTTCCCATGCATACGAGACAGGCGTCCAGATGCACAACCACTTTCTCCATCCCAAACCCTCCAAGACCACACCCCCCTCTCACTCCATTGTCCCTCGCTCCAGACGATCTCTTAAGTCCTCAGAACCAACATCGGCCGAGCCACCCGCATCAGACCCATCACTCTCTATACAGAAATTAGATGTAGAGCGCTCTCCAACCGCAGAAAGATAGCATACCTAACTCACCCATTCCCGAGTCGAAATTCAAGATGGGCTTCTGGTCTAGAACGGCTCTAGCATCAGCTTGCTCACTGGCGTATTCCTCCTCATTTTTGAGAGTGTCAGAAGAAGAAGGGAGGTCGAGCGGGCGCTCGTAAGCGGGCTTCGCTTGTCTTTCTAGGGGTTGGAACATTTTCACATGGAGTTGTTCTTGTTTCTCCTTGGCTGTGGTGATTATATGGCCTGGGTTACTAGTAAATTAGGTTGGCTTTTTTCGGGTGTTGTAAAGTATACATTTATATGGGGATTGTTCTGTTTGATGGGAAATTGTTGAATTGATGTTTCTCATATGTTGTCTGAAAGATTGGGTCGACGTGCATCACGACATGGAATAAACTTTGCGGATACGCCACAACCACACCTGGTCTATCAGTGGGTGTGGCTGTTGTTTTTTTTAATTTGCTTCGGGGCTATAGTCATTTGCAAGTGAATAACAGTATCTGCTGAGACATGTCTCATTGTGATATCCACGCATCAAATAGGTGGTTCACATCTTCTGCTATCAGGTGGTGACTATTGTTATTAGGTAAAGCCCGTATCACTTTACTCTTCCCAGTCCTCGCTTGCAACAATCAACTATTCTCATTGTGTCATCATAGACGGGAAAGATCAACGCATACGCCTAAAATGCCAATGTCCTATGCATAGTATATACATTCCATACGTGACTCCACACACATTATTGCATCGATAAGTACTTCACGAGCGAGACGCAGTCTGCTGCAACTTCAGCGAATACATCGCCGATTCAGCCGCATACTTACAACGCTTCCGGATCTGTTCACCATATATATAGAATATGAACGGGAACGGCAGACAACCGACGGTGAGGAAAGCCGGGATGGACGAGGCCCAGTGGATGCCGAGATCGTCGTACATATAAGTCGTGAAAAGCGGAAACACAGCGCCGAAGAAGGACCGCGCGACGGAATTCGCAGCCAAGACCGAAGCAGCGTAGAGAGTATACGAATCGATGAGGTAGCTCATGATGCCCAGGTAAATCAAGAGGACGCCGAAGCCGAAGGGGGCACCGCCCGCGACGCTGGCGATCCAGTGAATGGAGGGCGAGTTGGTCCATGCGAACCAGAACAGGCCGATGGGGATTGTGACCGCGGCGAGCATCACTGGCGGTAGGCGGGCCTCGGGTGGTGCGAACCCCCCGTGCCGCTTTTGCGTGTTTTGGTACCGCTTGTTGTCCGGGATGGAGTACAGAGTTGCGATGATCATGCCGACCATGATGCCGAAGAATGCCAGCCCGCCGACGCCTTGGTTCCATCCGCGGCCTTCTTGGTAGACTATGGGGAAGGCGGCGAACATCATGAATAGGGCGCCGTATATGATAGCTATGTAGATTGACCTGTGAGAACATCAGTATGATCCGTCTTCTGTCGTTTATTAATGAAGATTTCACTGACAGTAAGAGTACTATCGGCTCTCGGAACAACAAAATCCATGGTCGGAGCAGGGATTGGCCAAACATCCGCTTCACTGACATGCGGCCCCCGTGCTCGATATCCAGTTTCGTTCGATACACCTTCCCCGTAATCTTGGACAACCTCTCAGCCCGACGGCGGAGCAGCACGGGGGCATAAGTCTCAGGGACACAACAGGCCATGATGATCCACATCAACGCCGAAAAGGCCGCCAGGAACCCCTCCACCCACTGCCACCCCGCATTCATCCCCAGGAACCCACCCATGAAGGGTCCCAGCACCGGGCCGAGCCACGGAGCCGCCGCGAACAGACTGAGCGCCAAACCGCGGTGCTCTGCCCTGAACATGTCCGATATGACGCCCCCAGCATTCGTCAGCGGCGCCGAGCCGGACGCCCCGGCGAGGAATCTCAGAACCAAGAGGGTCTCGATATTGGGTGCTCCTGCACAACCCGCCAAGAGCGCCGTCATGGCGCCGAACGAGACCGCGAAGGGGTATTGCCGGCCGACAAATTCGCTCAACGGGGCCCAGAATAGCGGCCCTAGCGCGAATCCGAGAACGAAGAGCGAGAGGCCCAACGTGGCGAGTTCGTTGTCGACATGGAGATCTTCAACAACTTGTTTGATTGCCCCTGAGTAGCAGGACGATGCGATAGCCACGGCAAATGTTGCCATCGACACGACGAGGGTGATCGTGACTTTCCTCCAGGTCGGCAACAGCATCGGATTCCTAGGATCGCTAGGGATCCATGAAACCACATAAGGATCCTGCTCCGTCCCCGACCCGGGATAATCGAACTGCGCGATCTCCTGCGTCACGGCACCCTGGTCCAGCACCTGTCGCCAGTATGGAATCGACCGGGCATGTTGAGCCTTGGCGCCCACGGGGTCCTTTTCTGCGTCCGTTGCTACCATTCCCAACCAATCTTGACCGAAGTGGTGCAGAAATTATAGCAACCGTGTCGGCCGAACAGAAATAGACAAGCTGCTAATTTGGAGCAAATTCGGTTCGTCCACATATTTTTCCTTTATATGCTTCCGATAAAAATTAAAAAGGACCCACGACATCAACGTTCTATGGCGGCCAAGCAAGCAGCCGGTGGGGTCCGTGTGGAGACACTGGGGGGAGCGTCAGGGCGCCAGACGCCGTGAGTGGCCGAGTCGGGAGGTCGGGAGGCGAGCCCTGGTTGTCCCTCGGTCCAGGCGGACTTAGCCCAGTAAACCCCGGAGAAAGACCCAGCCCTTTGCGGTGCGCGCCCTGTAGTCGACATCTGCACCCTTCTCCAACCATGATGACATCATGTGTGTTCATTGGACGCCCACGCATCCAGAACAAGGATTGTTTCCAGGATCGTCCCCGGTCCCGGTTTAAAGATCGGAAGAACTGTTCCGAATTGACGCGGCGTGCTCCATCAACGCCGTGACGGTCTGCCATTCCTTGCCCGCGACTGCCAAATCCCATTCCCGATAGGCTGCCGACACGGCGAGCCACGCACGGTCCACTGAGGGGCAGGGGGGTCGTACGCAGAGCTCCGTCAAGAGGAAAGTCAGGAGGTGCCAGCGTGTCGAACTCTGGCGGAAATGCCACCTCCACTTGGCGGTCAGCGTGCAAGTCTCGATAAAACGACAGAACTCGACGGCCTCGACGGCTGTCATAAAAAATCCATCCAGGAGGTCCAGCGGCAGATCGGTCATCTGGTCGCGAGAGAACGGGTGGTGGATGACAAAGGTGACTTTGGGGACGACGCGCGCAATGCCCACGTACCATCGCACGAGAGGGTGATCTGGGTTGAAATGGGATATGTAATCCCGGTGTAGACGTGAGAACAGGCGAGCGCTAGTATCACTGCACATGTCTATGCAACGGCATTGTCTGTGGGGAGCGCACCGTCGGGACTCTAGCTCTCTCCTCATGTCCCACACGGCACGGATGGATTCGTACCGGATATTAGCAAACGTCATGTCCGTGACGCCAATGCGCTCCTGGATCGGGAGTGTAGAGGTAGGCAGGATGTCGTCGTCGTTGACATTGAGTGGAAGACGCACGTTGGATGAGACGGGCAGTAATTCCGGAGAGGTCCCTTGGTCTTCGGAGGCGCGTTGATCCAAGAGACATAGGTGCCACCAGAGTCTCCTGCGCATTTCAACCTCAAGCTGGCTGACCCGCAGAGCAGCTGCATCGCGATGGAGGCCAGTGTTGAGAGCGCGACGGATGATGACGGCGAGTAATGCCCACACATAGGCAGGGTCCTCGGTGTGATTCCGAATCGCGGTGATATAGAGGGCGGCAGCTTGCAGAAGGGTAGTATTGCGCGTGCTCCACAGCTTGGCGTCATTGAGTGCATTCTGTAGGGCATCCCTGTAGCATCGCACGATCGATGGCAGGCTGGCGCCTAGGTCGCGGAGACACTGTGCGGGAGTCATAGTGACGACCGCCGACAAGCACACCGCTAGTAAGAGGGACTTTGTTACTGGGTCCAGCGAGTCTCCAGCAGAAGCCGAGTCCATCAACAAGCTACAGATACTGGGTTTGTGCAGAAGGGGGATGACAGGTGCTACATTGTCGCAATATAATTCCCATAAGATGAATGCCTGAGTGGGGGTCGGAATGACATTCCACACAGGGCTTGTTGCACCGGCTTCTGTTAATCGGCCACCGGACCTGCTAGAGCCAGGTCTGTATTCTTGAAGTCGTGGGATATGCCCCATCGCTGTCTTTGTTTCATCAGCTCTCGGTCATATAATGATAAACAGAGTTCATACTAGCACCATAGGGTATGACCCTAGTCGTCGGGCGATGTACAACCGGAGACACTGTTTAAGTATACAACCAAACTCTTCATGTGTTGCACTTGATCCCCGAGACCGCGTCTTGGCTAGTTGTCGTGGCTCGCGAGGCTTGACTTCCGGTCGAACGGCATGGCGTGGTGGAGCAATCACCGTACTAGACCCCGGGTGGTTCGAGACCATCGCCTGGACCAGATGCTCTAATCGGGATAGTCGCGTCTCTAGATCCGACATGACGGGGGTTTCTCAATGGGGGACTTAACCGATCATCGATGATCAGTGATTCTCCGAGTGGATTCTTGATTCTGAAGAAAGATCAACATCAAAGCCTTGACGCGAAAGATAGCACGCTGACAAATCCAGCATAATTCTTCCCCACATTTCCCCACCATATACAGACAGGTCTGCAACTTTGTGTTGTCCGATCATGGTTTTTAGCCCCATGAGTCCAAAACACATAGAGAATAGATCCATGTCCGGGTCTGTTCACCTGAAATATTGAAGATCGCGAGAGCGGACGAGCGACAGTAAACAATGGCGATCAACACGCGACAATCCTCCCTTTCTGCCCCACTCTGGCAAGCATAAGCACAGCCTCGTGAGATGCGTTGGACAACACGATTTCACGAGATATGCCTGTTTCCTAGGTAACAGATCAAACACGGCATAACATATTAGAAACCTTGTCTTTTGCATTGCGAGTTCTTCAAACTACAACTCATATGAACCAGAGACACTTCATCACCTCCCAGCTCGTTACCCACGTCGAACGAACTTCCACCATGGCAGATATCGAAACCATCGCATCGAAGATCAAAGCCGGTCAGATCAACCGCGTCGTTGTCCTTGCCGGAGCGGGGATATCCACCGCCGCAGGCGTCCCCGACTTTCGCACCCCAGAGACGGGACTATACGCCAAGCTGGCTCCGCTACGTCTGCCCTATCCCGAGGCCATATTCCACATCAACTACTTCGGGCACACGCCCGAACCGTTCTACGCGCTGGCGCGGGCTCGCAACCCCGTCAACCTAAAGCCGACCGTGTCGCATGCATTCCTGGCGCTGCTGGCCAAGAAGAATCTGTTGCATTTCTTGTTCACGCAGAACATCGATGGGTTGGAATTGGATGCTGGCGTCCCGGGTGACAATATGATGGCCGTTCATGGTAACTGGAAAAGCCAGCGGTGTCACAAGTGCAAGACGCTATATCCGGATGACCTGATGCAGGTAGCTGTCAATACGGGCGAAGTGCCGTATTGTCTGGTGGCAGAGTGCGGCGGGGCAGTCAAGCCTGATGTCGTATTCTTCGGGGAGTCGGTCGCCCCCCGTTTCGAGGAGGAAGAACCAAAGGTGCGCGAAGCTGACCTCATGCTCATCATGGGGACCAGTCTGAAGGTGAACCCCTGCACACGATTGCCTCCCCAGGTACCTGACGGGGTGCCGCGGGTGCTTGTGAACATGGACCCCGTGGGCGGGATCGGTGGTCGACCGTCAGATGTGTCCATTCTTGGGGCCTGCGACGACGGGGTCCGCCAACTAGCGGATGCCTTCGGTTGGAGGGATGAACTGGAATCTCTATGGGCTGAGGCAGTTGCAGCCAAACCGAAAGGGGCAGAGGTCGACACTATGGCATTATTGGATGAATCTATTGAGAGACTGGCCAAAAAGATGGAAGGCTTGAGGCAAGTGCCTGAGGGACATCGGCGAATGCTAGAAGCGCATCTGGGTTCGAAATCAACGAACATGGAGTGTGTGGTTCGCTTCAGGCAGTTACGTTCGTTGTCTCCCCCGAACGGCCCTTTTACTACCTTATGAGAGATCAGTATGTATCAAAGAAAAATCTTTTGAGCCCGCTCTTTCTAGTATTGCGAGGGGTGGCTTTTTCACAATTCATGTTTTCTTGGTACGGGCAGCAGGGGGCATAACATCGGTGCCCCTCTGAGGCTGCCTCCATGTCACGATGATTTGAATATAGTAAATAGAAAGATCGTCAACCGCGTACAGCCAGCCAATGTATGCCATGTCCCCGTCAGTATGCCCGACAAGGCTGCTTCATTTGATGCGTGCACTCCTGTCATCAAGAATCCACACTTCAGTAGTGATGCATACGCATCTAGTGTCCTGGCAAGCATCGGCCGAAACGAGGCAGTGGCTACTTCCGCCCCGATCCTAGGATTGTTGACGCGCGCTGCCTTACTTTTTCTTTGTCGTGAGACGGGGGCTAGCGTCATGTTATATCCAAATGTTTCTGGATGGGACGTACGCGTTGCTGGCCTGGCAGACTCGTCTGCCGCCATGAGACATTACCCAGGATACGTTCCAGTCCATATCCCGCATGACATGAGCACCGCTGCAGCACAGGCCCTTCTATCAGTCTGCGTTCCCGGGGGGGCTGCAACTTATGAATGGCGTTTTCGGGCTAGAGAAAGTGACCTAGTTAATGACCTGCGTGAAGACATGATGCCTGTATACGCTCGCAAGCTGTACCCCGGCGGTAATACGCAGATACTATTGATCACTGAGCACACATCCCGTTCCTGATTCTTTGGTGGTGCTTCGTTTACGCAAGTGGGTCTCAGTGACCTCGAGAGGTGGCTTCGCGCCAAGTTTGGACATGGTCTGGTAAATCAGGCCTTCAAAACGGCTGCCGCGCTGGGTCACGTCTACGTTGAGCCCCGCGTAACTGACGGCAAACTTGGGGATATGTTCGACATTGCGGAAGCAACCTGCTTCTACAAGGGACATAACCTCAGCAGCGATATCTTTGCATGGGAAGACGACGGCGGTAACCCAAAGGATCCCATCCTCCGTCGACCTGTGGTGGATTAGGAACGCAGGCCTCTCGGTTTCGACGACGCTGTCATTATTGCACTTCGAGCCCTGCAAGTCAACCAGCAGCCCAAGGGTAATGCATCATCTGTCCTCCAGACATGCCAGCCTGTCTATCATGAGAATGGGCGCCATGTCCACATTTGCTCTCGCGTCAACAACAAACGGCAGGTAGCATACGATGCGCCTCTGGTGGAAGTTCTCCAATGGCTCTGTAATCCCGCTAACATGCAAGACACCAATATTGTGGATTTTGCCCAAGGATGACTCCAAATGCTGGACAGAGGCTTGTCGAATCAGTATCTCGAGGATCCCGAGGAAGATGAGTACGGTACAATGACGGAACTACACGGTTTTCGAAACTCTTTCGGATACCATGACCATGCCACATTTTGTGTTCTCGAATTCAATCTACGGGCTCTTATTCCGCTACTATCAGGGGTCCATATCGTCAATGTGAACTTCGGGGTACGATCGTCGCTAGATGTTGAGAACAGGCGTGGCCGGTTGCGGCACTACGTGCACAAGATGCACATTGCACACGTCTTCTCCCGTGTTGGGAAAAATATTTGGCCCGCTATGTTAGACCTTGGGAGCTATACGTATGCGCAATTGGCAATGCTGATGCCGCGTGGCCTCCAGCCCCTTACCTATTTGATGGATAGCGGCAGATCAAAACTCAGCGCTCCTAACTGGCAGATACTTGAGCCAGTACACAGGCTTAAAGGTACGAGGTCAAAGACCGCCTACTATGGCTACACCTCTGAGGGTGGGCTGGCGAGAACTGGCATTTGGATAGAAGCCAATTGCGACTTGACAAGCATAGTCGCTCTCGATGCAGCTTTACGGCGGCTATGGGTTACCGGCCGACGTGTTCAAGTTATTAACCCCATGGAGCAGCCGTTTTCAGTTGTACGTGACCTCAATAATTTGTACGCGCCGCTTTCGTTCGCGCCTGTCGTTCAAGAAAGCAGCATTAGCGTGCAGCTCATGGTTGGAGGCAGTCATACACTTGGTCAAGGTCATGCTGACAGAGTGTATGCGGTCGTTGCGCGCTGACAATGATACCGGGTTTCTTCACATTTTTTTCACAATATGCAATGAGCATACTTCTAAGATAAAATTATTTGCAGAAGTACTAGCTATAAGTCCCACATGCGGCGAACATATTATAGATATTGACCATCGCCTGTATACCCTGTTCCGTCTCTAGATGGGTACCAATAATAGTCGAAAACCATTGGGAAAATGAAGCCCTAGAAATCACTGAAGACTGGTTTCTGCAGTATAGGCTCCACGAACCAACGCCATCTCAGCTTCTAGAATGCAAGGCTGTGCAAACCCTGCGGATCAGGGCTGCAACCTTAGTTCCTGGGGCAATGGACGAGCCAATGATGACTAGTCACGAAGAGAAGGATCAATGAGCATAGCGTTTGGGTTGTTTCTTGGCTGCTCAGTAGCTTCAATTAACTATGGAGAGTGATTCAAGAGTTGATGTTGCTGTGAATGTGATTCAATGTGAGTCAAATGACCTTTCCATATCCCAGGCTTGTAGCCCCATGGTTTTAATGATCGATGATGTCCTTACAAGCCAATTGGAAACCAGTCTAGGTCTTGATGTGCTAGGCGTAGACAAATACCAACATCTGTGCAGGACATCAATTTATAGCCTAGCGCCACAGGAATTATAGAAGTGGTTCTGTAAACGTGTAGCGTCTCGTTGGATCGGGCATTCTTTCGGGTGTGGTCTTGTCGCGTTGGGAACATCTTCGGGGCAGAAAGAGTGTACGTTGAGGGTGTTGATCGGCAATCCGCTTATAAGATCTAGCGTGATGTGATTTTTTTTTCGGCTGATCAGGACCATGTTTGACCATCAAGTGATGCATCTCGCCTGTGACATACTACACCTACGACGCACCGCCAGCCATCGGAGACACGATTATCAAACTCAAGTCACTTACCTGGCAAAACACATAGCCATAAGTTCCATGACTCAGGCTATAGTCACTAAGAAAACACAATAGATTTGGAGAAAGAAGTGGAGATCTTTGCAAACCCCGCCATATGACGTGGCGAGGCTGATCCTCCGACTTACCTGACAATAAAGAAGGGCCGCAATCTTTCATCCCATCTTCGCCGACAAGTCCAACATATCGCATATAGCATGGACATTCCGCCCTTCCCGGACGATGCCCCTACCATCCCTATTGCCCGCATCTCGTATGCGGCCCTTCTCGCAGGCGACACGGTGGAAAGTCAGAAAGTACTGACGGCATGCACGACTGATGGCTTCTTCTACCTAGACATGACAGAAAACGCGAGCGGCCAAGAGTTACTGGATGATGCAGGTCAGCTCCATAGTCTGTCAAAGGGGCTCTTCGACGCGCCCGTCGATGAGAAGATGCGGTATCTCAACGACAGAGGCAAGTCGCTGTTCGGATACAAGCCGACTGGGGCAGTGAAGAGCACGGATCAATCTAGCACGAGAGATACCACGGAATTCTTCAATGCACGTTCCCCCATTTCGTCATTTGGGTCAAGTACAACCCAGGGAGGATCATAGCTGACGACGAACAGGTGGCCAAAGACCACCTCCACAACATCACCTCGAGCCGCACCTATCCCCCCGAAATGACTACCTCCCAACCACTCTGCCGGAGTTTTACGCAGAACGCCCACGTCTGCGCACAGGTCATTATGCGGACGCTTGCGCGCCAGCTCCACCTCGAAGATGAGGACACTTTCGCGCGGCGGGCGGACTTCAAGGCTCCCTCAGGGGACCATTTGCGACTAACCAAAAAGTCGCTAAATCCCAAGGATAACGATGGCCACACGATCGGGCTAGCATCGCACACCGACTTTGGGTTAGTGACGGTCCTCTTCAACTGGCTTGGCGGGCTCCAGATCCAGAGCCTCCAGCCGGAAAATGCTGGGCAGTGGTGCTTCGTGAAGCCGCTTCCGGGTCACGCAATTATCAATCTTGGCGATGCAATGGTCAAATTCACGAACGGGACGCTGAAGTCAGCCAAGCATCGCGTAGTTCCTGCCCCTGGGTTACAGGCGACGGTGGATCGGTACAGCGTGGTGTACTTCTCGCGACCGGCAGATGAGGCGATTATGGAGGTGCTTCCACCTTTCTTGGGAGACGGGACGGTGCAAATTGGGGGGAAGTTGGGCGAAGAGGGGAAGAGATACACGACTCGGGAGTGGATGGTGCGACGACTGGTGCAAATGGGGCATTGATTGACAGGGGTATTAAAGTTAATTAAACCATTGGAGACTAGGATTATGAAACGGAGGGGTTGCGATAGCAGACACAGTACGAGGTTATCGCGCCTGGATGCGGCATCCTCGCCGGGAAGAAGCAAATGCCGTAACCGTGACCAATGGAGTAAGCAATCAATGCGCTGGCCTGGCCGAGATTGGGATTTTCTGTTTATCTGAATGTTCCAGCCTCTGGAGTTTCCCCTCGTTTTGGAATGCTGTGGCGATATTGCATTCTCGTGTCAATGCTGGGATCGCATGCTTGGCTATGTAACCCAAGCGAGCCACCCGGGAGTCCGTCGGCCTGCCAAGCAGCTCGGTCAACAGCTCTCTAAACTGCGGAGGCAGCTGCGATGGATATAAATACCCCACTTGGCAGCTCGAAACACTTTTGTCGATGTCAATGGACGTGTGTTTATCGTTATAGCGCCTATTCTTACGATGAAGTACCTTCTTTACGCCTCCCTGGCCTCGCTGGCCTTGGCTAACCCTAACAAGGGTCCGAAGCCCAAGAAGGTCGACCCGGTAGGTTCTCCATGCTCAGTCTCCAAGAAGGACAAGAACAGGAACATTTGCTGATAACATGAACAGCACAAATTCCCCAATGACATCAAGCTCGACGCCCTCCTCGCCGGTTCCCAGAAACTCCAGGATATGGCCTACGCCTATCCCGAGCGGAACCGCGTCTTCGGCGGCGTCGCCCACAATGAAACCGTCGACTGGCTCTACGAGGAACTCAAGGCAACGGGCTTCTACGATGTGTGGAAGCAGCCCCAGGTCCATCAATGGACCACCGCCGATCAGACCCTGACCGTCTCCGGCGAGGATCTGGAAGCCCAGACCATGACCTACAGCCCAAGCGTCAAGGTTGAGGCAGAGCTGGCGGTCATCCCGAACGTCGGCTGCGATAAGGCCGACTACGCTGGCGTGTCGGGCAAGATTGCGCTCGTCCAGCGCGGGACCTGCCCATTTGCTGATAAATCGGTGCTGGCCGCTGCTGCCGATGCTGCTGCCGTGGTCGTGTATAACAATGAGGGAGGCCCCATGAGCGGCACGCTCGGCGGTTCGGTCGACCCCCGCGGCAAATACGCCGCTATCGTGGGTATCTCTAAGGAGGATGGCGCGACACTCACCACGAAGTTGAAGGATGGCGCTGTCAAGGCCAGCCTGGTGGTCGACAGCAAGGTGGAGGACCGGATGACCTTCAACGTCATCGCGCAGACCAAGACGGGCGACCCCAACAACGTCGTCGCCCTCGGCGGCCACACCGACTCGGTCGACGCCGGCCCGGGCATCAACGACGATGGCAGCGGCATCGTCAGCAACCTGGTCATTGCCAAGGCGCTCACCAAGTACAAGGTGAAGAACGCTGTTCGCTTCTGCTTCTGGACCGCCGAGGAATTCGGCCTGCTGGGCAGCACCTTCTACGTCGAGAGCCTCAACGCGACCGAGATAGCCAAGATCCGCCTGTACCTCAACATGGACATGATCGCGTCGCCCAACTACGCACTCATGATCTACGACGGCGATGGATCCTCCTTCGACATGTCCGGGCCCCCGGGATCCGCCGAGATCGAGCACCTCTTCGAGCACTACTACGGCAAGATCGCCAACAAGAAGTTCATGGCGACCGCCTTCGACGGCCGCTCCGACTACCAGGCCTTCATCGAGAACGGCATCCCCGCCGGCGGTCTGTTCACCGGCGCTGAGGGCATCAAGACGGAGGAAGAGGCGGAGCAATTCGGCGGCGAGGCCGGCGTTGCCTACGACGAGAACTACCACGCCAAGGGCGACACCATGGACAACATCAACAGCGACGCTTACTTGCTCAACTCCAAGGCGACAGCGTACGCGGTTGCCACCTATGCCGAGAACCTGGAGACCATCCCGCCCCGGAATGCCTCTAGCGTGCATCATTTCACTCACAAGCGGGGGTATAAGGGCCGCCCGCATACGCGCCGCGTTCCGAAGACCAACGCCCATGTTCATGGCACGGGCTGCATGCATTCGCGGGTGGAAGCCTAATCTTGTCTTCTTCTTCTTCTTCTTCTTCTTCTTCTTCTTCTTCTTCTTCCCTCCTTCCCTATTAAGTTTAGTCATAAACGCAGAGGCAGGAATCCTCTATGTCAGGAACAGAAAACAATGGAATTCGATATGTGTATATACAATGCCACGCGGAGTAAATTAAACACATCGCCACCTAGCCAACCCCCCTTCTTCATCTTCCCATGCTGAACGCTCTCCTAGGGACGTCGTAGTGGTAGTAGGAGCAGTAGTAGCGGTAGTAGATGATGATAGCCAGACATGTGCCGTTACATAACAGCACAGAAAGCTAGTCAAAGGCTATCAGCCTTGGGAGGATACTGCTTTCCCTCGCTCTCGACCTTGGGCGTGCAAGTGCACCACTCCTCAGAAGGAATGCTATCCATGACGGTGGGAATGTGGTTACCGCAGCCCCACCAGGTGGCCTTGTCTATATCACAGTAAGTACTGGTATTCCTGACAGAGGAGGGAGGGCTAATAGGGTCAGGTGGTACATACGGCAGTTAGAGCAGGTAGCCTTCTTGCACATTGTGAATAGATCAACAATTATATATTTGACTTAAGATGGAGCTTGCAGAGCGGAGATAGAAGGATTCCAGAGTAAGATGGCCAGTTTCAAAAAATGAAGGAGGGGAAAAAGATAGATAACTGGTGAAAAAAAGAGCGATAAACCCCGCATTAGTCAGGCGGTCGCCGAGGTTGTGGAGCTTCACGTTTTAATCCCCGAATCCCGGATTTTCTTCAACCATCGCCGTTCGTTGGGGCTGCTTCTTGGTGTTATGGATGAGAAAGAATCGCCGTTTCGAAGAATATAGGTAGGCGATGTCTGACTGTCTTAGGGTTATTTGTACGCATGTCACCTGTCATTCCCCCAAGGTCCCTGACGTCGATCTGGGGCAATGCACAAGTTGGATTATCCCCACTTGGCTGAGTCATCGGTGATGTCATTTAACTATTCATAAGATGTGGTTGAGGGTGGATTGGCAGTAATAGATTGAAATAATTCGATAGTAGGAGGAATTTTAACACCACGTTGATACCTGGGTAAAATTTTATAGTAGTAAATGGAATCGGGTGAATGCAAGTCCCATGAGATATCAATGACGGGATGAAAGAGAAAGTCACTATTCTTCGGGTAATATAGTGCATAACACATAAGATGAAAGAATTTATTCTCTTCACTGCTAGCTCTGTGTTCAGTGCATGTGGCTTTACCCAGTAACTTCAAGTAGTCAAGTTTGCCCTAGACAGGCCCATGATATTCCTAGTACGAAAATTTGCCAATCAGACAATCAACCTAGCTTGTCAAATCCAAGTCACTGAGCAAGGAGAGACACATGCAAAAGCATTGGTCAGATTTACCTACCAATCATTGCATAAGATGTCAGATGGTGTGTACAAGCCTATTCCAACCTATAGAGCCCGATGCAGTGATGTCAGCGGCCTTATAAGGGACACGGAAGTCGGAGGTACCCAAGCGGTTATTTGAATCCAGTTTTCATCTTTGTGGATGCTATAGGGTTTGGATCTGTGGGTTCGGGTTAAGTTCCACATTCTTCAAGACTCAACTTGATGAAGGATATTTTAGGACCTTTTCTTAAGGGATTTCTTTAAGAGGATACCCATCGCATTCCTTGGTTCGACGCTCCGCAAACCGCCCATGAGACTATGGACGAACTATCTGAACATGCAGCAGCGGTAGTGGGACTCCATTCTACTTGATATAGAGAAGCAAACAGAGAAGGAAATCTCCCGTGCGGCGCAAGGGCTGTGGGTGAGATGCGGAAGCTACGCTATCCATGTAATGATATTCGCCACTTCGATAATCTGGATGCTCTTGTGTCGCGCAGGCGAGAAGCCATGTGCCACTAAAGATAAGCCATCACATGTCGTGATACAGCTCAATTTGGTATACATTTCCAGCAATTCAGAGACTCGGTGGCATACTACATAATGCTTACATCTTTCCATGGTAGCAATCAACAATCTACAACCCCACATAAACTCGCCCAAATGACTCTTGAAATAGATGGAGAGACCACATTTGCCTATCATGGCCTGAAAACAACCCAAACCACTCACTTGGAGACTGTCAAATCACTCATACAAGAATTTCTCGAAGACATCCAGTTCGACCGCAACCTGCCCTTTATCAAAGACCATGAACTAGAGGCAGCAGTTTGGACGTACTTTAAGAGCCTCAACATGGGCCAGAAGTTAGAGAGCTCCGTGCACGATGTCTTGAAGCTTTCCGCAACCCTAACACACCAGGCATACACGCAGCTGCCATTTGAAAACAAGGTTCTATGCACTATACAAAATCTGTATATGTTCCTCATAGATGACATTGCCGACGATTTCATGGAGGAGCTTCGCTGCTTCGGGCAGAAGTGAGGCCCCCATTATCCTCTTCTTCCAGCCCCACTACCGCAACTAATTAAAGCAGCTTCATTCTCAACATCCACCACAACCACCCCCTCCTCCGCGGCTATGACACCCACCTCCGCTACCTCTCCCGCTACTACGGCCCCCAGCGCCACTCAACTATCGTAAAGTCCAACCTCGACTACGTCAACGGCCGCATCATCGAGCACGAGATGGACACCGCGCGATTCAAGTTTCCGCCTGGCTCAAAGCTCATGCCCATGTTTCTACGCACCAAGGTCGGCGCCTCCGAGACCATGGTGTCCATGCTGTTTCCCAAAGCAGCCTACCCGGAGGAAGAGAACCTCATGCGGTATTTGCCCGCCGTGGCCGAGCTGATGATGTTTACCGACATGACGAATGATATCCTGTCTTATTACAAGGAGTTTGTGCTCCGCGATGAAAAGACAAATTTTGTGGCAAATTTCGCCGAGACGCACGATATGTCGCACCTTGATGTGTTGCGGCATTTGGTGAGCTATGCTCCTCAGGTTAGTCTTCTTTTTACTTCTGTGTTGTAATAAGGTATTGAGGCAGGATGGTACTAATTGAAAATATATTGTGGGTAGCTCGTCAAGTCCGTGTTTCGCATGCTTCATGGCCAGCAGGACCTGCTGGATACTGTGCAGAATTATTTCAATGGCTATATCATGATGTTCACGGCCCACCGGCGGTATCATTTGGTAGAATTGTTTGAGGACGAGGGTTACCTGATGCCTTATGACGAGGATTCATAACAAGGTGTGCATAATCTCGGAGAGTAGGTCAGGAAATTGCATGTAAACAGGTCGCAATTAGTCGTTCCTTGCAGCTATAGGTGACCACCTAATAGAGACTCTATTCTTCAGGTTAAGACTTCCCACATGAGCGTACTCTCTGGCCTTATTACTCAGAATGAGACATCATTCAATTGTAGACCTAGAGTCGAGGAGATAGCTACAGAAGCCATCCATTTTCGATGATCTGGGTAGTCAGCGTGTAGATACTCTGATCATCATTTCCAAGCCCGCCATGCCAACTGAACGAGCAAAACCAGGATTAAGCGTGTAACATTCATTTGAAGTGGTAGTACTGCATGAGTCGAGTGCCAGTCAGCGGATTCAAGCCTAATGTTGCAATACCATGCACAGGCTTAGCAACTGTTGTAGGAATCACAAGACACTCACATGTTCGCCGACACTACCATAACCGAGCAAAAGTCACCCAGATAGCGTACATAAGCTTTAAAGGGGTCTCATTTGTTTCAGTGCCCCCAGCTAAGATTTTCACGGAGCACTATCACTGGAAATTAAGGTTGCTTTCACGTTCTTGGTCGGTATTTCTAACTTTCTGTCATCACGACCAAATCTTTTAGCATGTGCGCTTAGGGCAGATGGTAGACGCTTGTAGAGTGATGTCTTGAAGTCATGCTGAAGGCTTATGAAAAGTTACTCGGGTTGTACAGTTCGGAAGTAGGGAAGACATGGTAGAGAAATATTCAAGAATCATATAGCAAAAGCCGAGAATACCTGTCCAGGTATTTTGTATGATTCTTTGCTTAGTTTTCTAGTAGGTTGGACTTCCTCATGTCGTTGAGTTTGCAACTTCTACCACAGGGGTTGATGGTCGGGTCATCTCCGTACGGTGGCCTTCGCATCCTCACGTTAGGTAGAAATGCCCCATCGGAAAGAGGGCAAACTTCAGCACGTCGCTTGCAGCAATTATAATATCCGGATTAATACTAATTATTGGCTGGTACTGTCTCATATTACGGCAGTACCAACATTGCACTGTAATGAGCCAATGCTAGTCACGTCTTGTGTATTAGATGAGTCCAGTGCAAACCCATAGATATGTATCTTAGCATCCCTTCAGCCAAATATTTTCACTAATTACTCTAATCTGGAAATATCATTGATACTTCCAACCCCAGGAGACCATACAGGTTGAGCCCGGGATCGAGTCCTGGGTACACTTGGCTCGCAGGATAAAGGATAGCAGCAGTATAAGAAGCCCTTACCCCCTATTCGTGTCCCTTTGTGTCCTATGACTGATTCTTTTCAGCCCCTCAATCTGATAATACATCATGACAGACCGTCAGAAGTTTGAGGCTGTAAAGATCCAGCTCGTGGATGACCTAAACATCGATCTCGTACAAAGAGGCACCCCAGAAGAGCACATCGACCGGATTCTAAGAGTAAACCCCATCCCCATCATTCATTCTCTCCCAACTGACAGAATTATATAGTGTCTAACAGCCAATACAACCGGTGGAAAATATCTCCGCGGACTATGCGTCATAGAAACGGGGTTGCTGATCCTCAAACGACCGCTGACCGACACCGAGTTCCACGAACTCAGCATGCTAGGCTGGATGGCAGAAATCCTACACGCCTCCTTCCTCATCTTAGACGATATCCTCGATGGGTCTGACACCCGCCGCGGCCAGCCGTGCTGGTACAAGCGTGAGGGTATCGGTCTGTCCGGCAGCCTCGACTCCGCCCTACTCAGGTCATCCATCTTCATACTCCTGAAAAAACACTTCCTACGCCACCCAGCCTACTGCGACATGCTCGAGCTACTCTCAGAGACTTGTTTCCAAACTGATCTTGGTCAGATCGTCGACACGGCTGCCGGAAACGGCCACATCGCCCTTGACGCTATGAATAATGAGCTGCTGTCTTTTGTCGCGGCGCACAAGACTTCCGCTTACACGTTTTGTCTGCCCGCTTTGCTGGCCTTACACTATCTAAGTCGCGCCAGTACTAGGAACCTCGCGCAGGCGCAAAGTCTTCTTATGTGCATTGGGAGCTACTACCAAGCTCAGGATGATTTTCTAGATGTCTTTGGTGATCCTGCAGTGACAGGTAAGGTGGGCACTGATATCCAGGATAACAAGTGCACGTGGGTCCTGGTGCAGGCCATGCAGTCAGCCAACCCTGCCCAGCGCGAGATTCTGCGGACCTCATATGGTCGTAAGAGTGCGACGGACGAGGTTCGGGTGAGGCAGGTTTTTGCGGAGTTGGAAATCAAAGGACGGTACCTTCAATTTGAGGACGGGACGTTGCGCGAGATTCAGGAGCAGATTGACACTTTGGACGAGAGCGAAGGGTTGAGAAAGAATATTTTTACTGTCTTGCTTGGTAAAATATCTCGGCGCAATGCTTGACAGGATATCCAGTGATTGTACCAAACATAGCAGCTCGAGTGGTCACGAGGCTCTCAAGCCCTAACTAGTTGCGATTAGTTTGTATTAGAATAGTCCTGTCGAGCATTCCTTATTAACTTCTTAACCTTAACATGGAATATACATCCCTGAGTATCATGATACAAAACAGCAAAGCCCAAAAACAAGCAACAGTATTTACAATCCAGCCCACACATGCCAATGTTATCATCGAATCCCAGCAGGCAACTCCACCGGTGAATATCCCATCTCAACTGGCATACCCTGACCATCCAATTCTCTTCGCGTTACGCTGTCTATCTCATGCGGTTGGGTCTTCGCCGGTTCACTGTACAGCTCGCTCGGTTGTCCATTGTCGAGTTTCGAGTACATCGGAGACGGAGTGCGCCCGTCTGCCTGGAAGGATGATGGCGGCTGCGCGCGTGCGCGGGCCTGTCGTCGTCGGCGGAGAAAGAACCAAATGAGTCCAATTATTATAACCGCGCCAGCTACGGCTCCGACGACGGCGCCTGCGATCGCACCGCCGCTTATCGAGTCAGAGGTTTCAGGGGCATCCCTTACTATCAATCCGCAAATATTAGCATCATCTGGTGAGAAAATCGTATAATATAACGATGGGTAAAGGGAAACAGAAATAGCAATAATATACCACTATTTCATACAAGACAGGGGATCGGTATAAGGGCTAAAACATACTCTGTTTCACAGGCCCCAACACCATGTACTCCGGGTCATCCGGCTGCCCATTCACGCACCCATAGCCCTCATTATTCATATTGCGATTCCAAAACCCCGTCTGGCCCTTCTCGCAGCAAAAGTTGTTCTTGTGGTTGAACATGTTCCAGGTCTCGTTATTGGCGCAATGTGGCCGTTTCTTAAGCATGTTGGAGCAGTTTCCCCCGCCGGGGCAGCAGATGCTATTCCTCCACTTGCTATCCTTGCTGGGACAGCTCGTGCCCTTTGGGCAGCAGGCGGAGAAATCGCCCCATGTCTTGCCGCAGGATATCTCTTCGTCGGCGAGGCACGAGCCGTTGCGGCGGAGGGCGTAGCCTGCAGGGGAGTCGTATGCGGCTCTGTAGGTCATCCTTTCAGCTATGGTTATGGCGCTTTCTCTTTCCCCTTCTTCGTAAAAGACAGGATCCGCGGGCGGAAGGGAGATAGGAAGGGCAGGTTTGGCGGGGTATGTGTGGAGAGAGTCAAAAACAAATATCATCCGGGGAATAACATCGCAGAAGAATAGCCATTTTTAATAACATCGCGCGCATAGGGCGATCGGCGCACTCCATCTGAGGTGTCCGCCTTGATTATGGCGATCCCTTCCTGAATTGCGGAAGGATGGGACGCCTTAGCTAGCACTGCCTTATAATATATTATTTTTAACTTCCTCTAAATTCCATGGTTTGGAGCGCGATTGGAGGGTGTTCCCTGGGAGTTTCCTGGGACTGTCTGCAATTAGGTAACTGGTTACCCAGTAGCAGTGACAATATATGAGGTGCATGATAAGTGTACGTAAAACCGACAAATGCCCCAAGTTATGCGCCCTGCTGGCGCCAAGCGTCCAAGTCATGGATACGAAATTTGATATATGGTAGTACTGGTAGACGCGGGAACGTGTCCGGGGTACACTGCCATTATTATGGAGAGCACCGTGGGTCGATCGTATTCGCGTGGTCGGATACCCAGCCTAAACAAAACCATGTAGTTAGAGGATTTTGGCATAGTGCAGTACAAATGTCTGAGCATTTGATCTTGAAGTAGTGATCATAGCTAGTTAAACATGTTGATTGATCATACTAGCGCAGAGATTTTTTCATGACTTCTGTGGAATGCGGTCACTCATTTGTGTAGATAAATGAATGTCCCCCATAAATTCATTCAAGTTTTTATTATTTGATTCTTATCATTAATTAGAGTTTCTCACATCGTAGAAATGTATAGACAACTTACCTCAAATGCTGATTCCTTATGTACGATCAGGCTGTGCTCCGCCCTTTCTTACTTGCCGGTGTTTAATGTTACTGCAGGCCCAGAAATGAGCTTGATTAAACTGGGCTTCTATTGGTAATAGGACGGTTATATCTGGGATAGTGTATTATATACATCTCCGTCAAGACTACCAAGTGAGACTCTTAAGTTATAGTAGAAAACGATACGTAGTCGGCCCTTGGAGTGCTAGACAGTACCGCATGACTGAAATATATATAGCTAACAGCATAATACCATTCAACCACTATTACTCTAGCACAGACCCTAACACATAGAAGTCTTTCAAACATAATGTAATCAAACCTCCTCTAGCAGATTAGAAAGCCCAGATCGTAAATAATACACAAATATATAGACATTGAGTTACTGCGCTGGGAAATGTCAAATGAGCATAAATTGAGTTACCCACCAGTCATATAACAAACCTCCGCTAAACTAAACATCAATTGGCAAGGTGGGAGAGCGGTTAATCCGTAAGACTAGAAATCTTATCCCTTCGGGGTCGTCAGTTCGAATCTGGCCCTTGTCGATTATTTTTTGTTTTTCTTTCATTTTTTTTTTTTTTAATTTCTTATCGAAATAGACGCAAGATTCACTTTTTCCACGTTTAGCGGAGTTATCGTTCAGGTTGATAGAGTATGAAATTATTTTTTTCATGTTATCCTGCTTGCATAATATAAAAGCGGTCCTATCTACATATACCCCGTAACAGAACCGACTGGCTATACAGTACACAGCGACGCAAGTAAACATAATGACATCTTAAAAGCCGTAATATCAAAAGAAAAAAGAAAAAGAGACACTATGCCATACGCCTACATACAATCGCCATCATCTCTCAAAACCAACTCAGAGGCACAGTAGCATAGAATGAATCAAGTATACCCCCATCAACTAGTCTCCCATTGCAGTATTGGCATTGCCAACAACATCGCATAGTGAAATCCAGGCTCTTACTATTACCTACCTACATTCCATTCGTACACAGTTACCCTATCCCCGGTCCAGGCCTGGTTGTGATAGCACAGTGACCCAAACAATCGGTAACTATTAGGTTATGACCCACACCCACACAAGCCTCAAATTTTCAAACCAAGTCTGACCAAGGTTTGTCCGAAAAAGCTTAGCCTAGGCTGATGTAGTCAATTTTGGAAACAAACTCCATCTCCGGCAACATGGGAGAGTGGTTAATCCGTAAGACTAGAAATCTTATCCCTTCGGGGTCGTCAGTTCGAATCTGGCTGTTGTCGTTGCTTTTTGTCTCCTGATTTAATTTATCGGGGGTGGAATTTTTTGAGTGGGCTGTGTGGGTCTAGTATCTTTTTTTTTTTCGCTTTTGGTGGGTGTAATACGGTGTATGGGGAGGGAAATGGGGTGGTCATGCAAGCACTGTTCATGTAAATCTTGAAACATTTTAGATTCATCATCATTATCGTAGCTCTATATATAAATCCATATTTACAACTTTCCCTTCTGAATCTCCGCCGGAGGGCCACAGCAGGCCGCCGCCTCAGGGTGCAACGTAGACTGGTTGAATGTCTGTGACGACTGCGGGACGTCGAGGGCCGGGTTCTTGGTGAAGAAGCCATCGGGTCGCAGCATGACACTGACACGCTCCATGGGCATAACGGGGAAGTCCTCGACGCGGGGGTTGTGGGTGAGACCGAAGGCTGCAGTTGAGTTAGTACTTCGATATGAAACGTAGTAGATGGGAAGGGGGAAGGCATACTATGCCATAAAACGACGTCGTCATTTTCGACGGACTCGTTGCGAGCAGCCCACTTTTCCACGCCCTGGCTCTCCTGGCTCTGGTTGGTGAATTCACCAGCCGCGAAGAGCTCGTCGTCGCGGTACTTGGTGACCCAGATGGGTTTGGTCGCGAACTGGGCGCGCTTGAGGCCGAAGGAGCGCGGGCTGGCGAGGAGCATTTGGCTGGGGGAGGTTTGGAGTTTGTAGGAGATGGGTTTGTAGGTGACGGGGTTGATCTTGGTGTCGTTGCGGATTTTGAAGACGCGGTGGCGCTCCACGCTGGTGTTGGCTGTGCCGCTTGTGCCGAGGACGGTTTGCTCGGTGGTGTAGCCGACTAGGTAGGGGTTGTTTTCGTCCTCGGGCATGGGGACGCTGTCTTCGTAGTAGACTGTGTTGTTGTGGCCGTCGATGGCGGGGTCCATGCGGAAGGAGAACATGTGCTGGTGGTTGGGGGCCATGACGCCGGGCCCGACGTTGGTGCCCCAGGGGACTGTTGTGCCGAATTTGTGGTTGTCGAAGGGGACGGTGGAGAGGATGCCTGTGGCGCGGATCTCCAGCTCGATGTTGGCCGCTTGGTCGAAGATGAAGGCGAAGATGTACTCGTAGTTGGAGACGGTGCAGATCATTTGGACGACGAGTTGGCGGTTGCGCACTACCGTTGCGGCGCCGGAGCGGTAGTTGGTGTGCTTGTGCTGCAGGCCGTTGTCCTGTTCGTGGAGACAGATGACGTTCTTGAGCAGCACGGGGTTGCCTTGGGTGTCGGCGCGGTAGCCGTCGAAATACTTGATGTGGCCAAGACAGTCGCAGCCCAAAGCCAGCTGGTTGGCTGTCAGGCCGAACCCGACGTCACCGACGTCGAAGGCTTGCTTGCGATGGAAGGGGGCGCGGGGGTCTCCGTACGGCACGGTCATCTCCGACACGGACAGCCGGTAGAACACATTGCGATTGTCGTAGGTCAGATTGTGTATGACCATCCCCTCACGGCTGTTAAAGCCGACACGGAAGCGCCACTTCTGCCACTGCACCACATTCCCCTTGACATCGAACGACGGCCCCTGCGGCTGCTGCACGATATAAGGCTTGAGATCCGTGCGCAGCGGCGTGTCCAGCAAGTCATGTGCGTACTGGACCGTCTCGACCGGCTTCCACGGCTGTGTCTCGGTGCTCGTGCCATCCGGCCCGCCAGGAAGGTAGTCCATGCGGACGAGCTCCTTGGTGACGCCATCGAACACCGGCGAGAACTTGCACGGTGTCGAATAGTGGTTGTTTTGGGGGTGGTCCGTGGCAATGACGTACATGTAGCACTGCCATAACCGACGAGTCTCATTTGCATTATCGGTCCCGTAGATCCAGGGATCGTTGCAGATGGTCGCACCAGCGGGGAGCTGTAATTTGGCAACTTCCGCCTGCACTGCGGGGTGGCTCAAGCAGAGCTGTTCAATTTCGACGATCTCGTCGACATCCGCAGGGCCCTGTGATCGGTTAGTGATACGCTTGTCTATCAATGTAATAGGGACATACCTGGACTCCCTTGGGGAGCTCCTTGGCGTAGACAATCGACCGAGTGTCTGCGTTCAAGAGGGCCTTATGGAAAGCCCCAGTATCGAGGCGGTGAAAGAGGACCTGCAGCAGGCGCGTGGGCTTGCGTGGCAACGGCTTGCCCAGTCGCTCCGCCTCGACATAGGGGACCACCTCCTTCTTGATGGGTTCCTGGGTGTCAATCTTCTTATACCGCAGCGGCACACCGGGGAACGAGGCCTGCAGCAGCTTAGCAGCCAGCTGGATCTCCCCCGGAGTGATGGGGTCAAAAGGGTGCAAAGTGGTCATGCTGGCGAATTCTGTCTGAATCTATCACTCTTTTTCGATAGGATAGAGACGATAGTCAAGAGCTGTCTGAAGAGAGAGGGGGAGGGGGGAGTTCCACTTTATATACATGAGGTGCGGAGAGGGACCGACAGTAAAATGTTGGGGTAAACGCAGCATCTACTCCATCCTGGCGATAACTACGGTCATTCTCCGTACTTTGATCGTTCCTCGGCGGTTTTACTTCCACGATAAGCAAGGATGTCCGGTTTACCACACACTCATTGGTTGGAGGTCCCGTGCCTCACCCAGCGTATCTGATTCCCGATTTGGCAATTGTGGCGCCCAGTTTATCACGTGGAGGATGAGGGAAATGCTGACTCATTATTCAGTTTGCCAACACACTAACTGGATCTGGTTAGTCCAAACGTGATGAAGAACAAACACTCTACTAAGCAAACATCGTCTGGATGACGCCTGCGTCAATCCATCAGTGTCTTAAGATATCATCACATAGGTGACCCCCAGTATTCCTAATGCTGAAAG